TAACAAAAAGAACCAAGCCAAGAGTTCATGACCGCGCTTTCTTTTAGAGTAAAAAAGTTAGAATTCGATGCATCCCTGACTGGCTATTTGAAATTAGGCTCTTAGTTAATGTCATTCAGTCCTAACCAATTCAAATTGCATAAAGAAGCAATGTCAATAATATTATTTTTATTTTCAGCATTTTATTATTGGATGAGATGGATCAGCTGGATAGCAAGAATCAAGAAGTTTTGTACACGATATTTGAATGGCCAGCTCTAGAAAATTCTAGATTGCTGCTTATTGGTATTGCAAATGCTCTTGACTTGACTGACAGAATCTTACCAAGGTAAAATACATAATATTTAATTTTGTATGATCAAGCCAAGCTGTCTTGTCGCTTTTCTCTCTGCCAAGATAAATATGAAAATCATATCCGCCTGAGAAATGTTATTTGCTATTCATTTTAGTGCACTGGGTGGTAAATTGTAGAACTGTCGTTATTAATATATATTTGTACTATATTGTTTTGATTTTGATTACAATTAATATTGTATCTATGTAATGCAAGGATATTGTGTTGTAAAGTTGACTATTATAAGTGATTCAAAACTCTTGCTGCAGACTGAAATAAATGTATTTCTGTAACGTTTCATACTGACAAACTCAGACTTCTTCAATATTTGAATATAATATATACTAAATTGATTTGATTTCCTTGTTTTCACTTGGAATCGGGGAATGGTGATCAGATATTGAACTTATTTTTTTATTTTCAGACTTCAGTCTCGATCAAAATGCAAGCCAACATTGATAAACTTTCAACCATATTCTAAAGATCAAATTGTAGCCATTCTTGAAGGAAGGATTAAACAGGTATATTCATTTTTAGTCCAAAGCAAGACGGCATGTTATCTTTACTTAAGATTCACGTTAAGAATGGGAATAAAAGTTGACACAATGGTCTAACAGTTGGAGCATTTTATTACCCAGGCTGTAATAAAAGGTACTCCGTTAGTGTGTGTACCGGGTTAGGGTTCGGCCGTAATTTTATCTCCAATTTCATTATTTTAGTTCTATTACAAGTTTGTGAACTGTATGTGTTAGCCAAGTGAATATACCCCCTGCCCATAGGCTTCTGTTCCTTTACACAACTTGATGTAAAGTAGGCGAACAAAATTAGTAGTTACCTCCATATTGGTACACACACTTCTGGAGCGTCATAATAAATGGGTAATTTTTGGTCCATTCAAATAATGCAGTTCCTTACCCACCAGTAGCTTCATTTACAGAGTCTTATTTTGAGTGAAGTGTAGGGAAATTTTGTACTGAATCCAGTGACTAAGGGACTGGTTTGTTAGATTAGTCGGCAATTTACCAACACAAAAATATCAGTGCCAAGCAGCATAGAATGATAGAAACTGTTTTTTTGATACACAGTAAAATTATACATTCAACACTAACTCTCAATTAAAAAAATTGTAACTTTGCTTTTAGACGATGGCTGAAAACTGTAACGAGAGAGTAATAGATGCAATGGCTGTTCAATTCTGTGCAAGGAAGGTTTCTGCCGTGGCTGGCGATGCAAGGAAAGCTCTCGATGTTTGCAGACGTGCTGTAGAAGTTGTCGAAACCAGCGTTAAATCACAGCACGTTCTATCACCATCTGGGAAAGAGAACTGTAAGAATTTTTTTCCGAAAATTTTCTTTTATGCAATAGTGTGGGATTACTAATAGAAATGCGGTGCTGGATTACACTTGTTTCAAATTACATTATTTTAGTGTTTATTTCAAATTACCCTCGAATCGCATCATGGTACAGATGTTAAGTTAAAACAACATGGAATTATAAAGTTTGATCTGTGATTGCAGGTGGTGGGTAAAGCGTTTGTACTCTAATATGTTGGCTTGCAGGGGGCAACCCTTGTGGGTAGACAATGCCGAAACCAAAATTGCTTTATGAGGAGCCTGCCTTGTGTGTTCAGATAGTATAAAAAATACTTCTATCAGAGTATTTATGTTTACGCTCTGGTATAATACTAATTTTGTTTATTCCAAGGTGTCAATCCAGTTACCAAGAAAGTGGGATTGCAACAGATCGCAGGAGTACTTTCTGGTGTTTACGAATCGTCAATTGCCCACAAAGCAAAGACAAATGATGAAGAAAATGAGGAAGAAGCGTTTCCACTTCAACAGAAGCTTGCAATTTGTACTCTTATTCTTCTGTCTCGGCACATCAAATGCAAAGAAGTCACAATGGGAAAGGTAACTTGGTTAATTTGATTTTTGTGCACTTACTATCAGGGGTTCCTTTAACTCAAGCAGTTGTTCTCGAACTTCCATGTTCCATGATCCCCTTCCAAAGGCTCCCCAAAACCCTGCAGTTTATCTCGTCAAAACCCTTCCACAGTTGGGCATCTCCAGTATTTTACTTGGTTTATTGTACATGATACATGGTTGCCTTGTATCAGTGGTTCCATTAACCTGTTAAATAGTCATGAAAACGTTATCTTTCTCTTATCTTCTCTGCCTTGTTCTAAGCGTTAGAAACGCGCTAACCATATCGAGGAAGTTTAAGTTTTGTCAGGATAATTATGCCCGAGAGGATTCACATAACCGCTTTCGGTTACAACTTTTTTGACCATCAAGTTCATATATCTGAAACAACAACCTTTTCCCATACCTGACAGGAAATGGTATCGAACAAGGGGCCTTGGTTCGTGATAGGATAAAGTCCTATTGACTTTTCTCCTCCCCTGGGATAAAAAGTGAAAATCCCACATCTTACTATTTCAATCATTAATTATTATGTTTCCATCAGCTCCATGAAGCGTATACAAAAATATGCAAGAAGAGACAAGTCACTGCTGTCGCACAATCAGAGTTTACTTCTATATTACAACTCATCGAGACTCGTGGAATTCTGAGCATCAAACAAAATAAGCAAGCAAGAATGACAAAGGTGTGTAAGAAATGCCATGCCTTGTTCTAGATGTCAATTTTTGGTACTCCCGTAGTGTATGTACCAGCAGGTTAGGCCATAATTTTATTCCAATTTTCTTTATTTTAGTTCTATTGCGAGTTCAGGACTACACAGACAGTCCTGAACTCGTAATGAAACTAAAATAAGAAAATTGGAATAAAATTATGGCTCAACCCTAACCTGGTACATACTGATTACGAGGCTGGCGACAATACTGTATTATAAACTCGTATTACGTTCAAGGAGACTTTAACTTCAAGGGGAATTTCAACTCTGGTTGCCATGAGTCCGACCAACAATATTTGATTTCGTCATAGGCCCTAGTCCATGAGCCTACAAGTTTCGAATCTTTGAATTAATAACCTTTTATCTCTTTCACAGATTTCACTGTCTCTGCAAGAAAAAGATGTTGAATATGCCTTGCAAGATAAAACTCTTCTTACTACAATTTTACTCGAGGGTCTACCAAAGTAATTTATCATGAAACCTATTTTACCTTTTCCGTTTGTTAAGTACTGCCAAGCTATTTCGTGCTTTGTACTGTGTTAGTGTTCATTTCGTTGTTTTTTCCCTTTATTTGAGGCAATATTGTGAAAGATTTAAATGTTTTTTAGAATTTTAACCATGTGCTTTTTGATTGAAAAATCTTGGTGCTGCTGTTTTTAAATGTTTTATTATTTCTTTGCAAGTTGTTTTATCGTGATGTTATCACTGCCTCAATAAATAGCATGTTTAAAAACAGCTTTTTGAAGTTGACTTGTGGTATTTCATATATTGCTGCATTTTTTTGTTTGATTCTATTCAGAACATCAGGAGTTTGATTTAGAGTTTCTGATTCTGTTTTAATGTAGCAACATATTTTCAATATTAACTTAGAGTAAGTGTAGGCAATTTCGTGGATGAATATAGAAAAGACTTTTGGAAATTTTTTTTTCCGACTTCCGATCAAAGGTCTGAAGTGTTCGTTCATTGCCAAAGTGACGTTTTTGATAGCCATAATATTCGCCAAGGCAAAATGGTTTTGGTACCAAACATTACTCACTCGAGTGATAAGTTGTAGAATGGGAATCCTATTCTTCAATTTTGCAACACTGGAGCTTATATAACGATCTTTTGTTGAGACTTTCAGCAATGGTTCCACCAAAACCCACTGATTGATTTGCCAGGGATAACTATATAATGAATAGGGTAGCCCAAAACAATCAATTCTCCAGGACAATATACTAATTTAATCAGAATTCAGCTAGTGTTTCAAAATTGCTTTAAATCAAAAATTCTGGAACACGCTGGACGATGTTTTGCTTCGTTCGGCCTGCCGTTCAGGTCAGATACAGTTTATTGTCAGTGAACGGCCTTGCCATAGCGAGACAATCAATCTTTCATCACAATTGAACCTACGAATTCATGCAGGGTAATCAGTGGTGTTCCTCTTTTACCACATGCCACCCAAGTCTTTTGTCCCACCAGATAACTAAAATGGAAGAGCCTAACATGTTTAAAGCAATCTTCTAGTACCGAATCATGCAGGGTAATCAGTGGTGCAATTGCAGACAAGGTGCCAACCATCGAGCTATGTATCAGCTCTCACAAACAAGACTCCAGACACAATATCACTTCATTTATGCTACTGAAGTCCTTTATTTACCACATGCCAATCTGTGTGTTGGAATAATATTCAACCAATCAGAATCCAGCTTTTCTTTTTAAATCACTTTGAATCAATTAGATAGACAGTAGGCATTCCTGCACAAACTTCAGGGCCTGCCGTCCAAGTCAGATATTAAAATGACTAATACCGTAATTATTTACCAGATCTTGTCCCATCAGATGACTAAAATGGGAAAGAAAGCCTAACTGACCATTCATGTTATTTATTGTCTTTAGGCAATCTTATATGATAAACTGTCTTTCACGTGACTTCAATCTTGTAACCCAAGCACGATAATTATAGTACGATGGCAAGGAAACATACTGCTAATAATGCGTTATATCCTGCTTCCAAAACGCACCATCTTCTACTCATTATACAAGACCAAAGTCATGAAAATGTTCCATTTAATCAATAACAATATATTCCTCTTTAACAGAGGAAGTATCTTTTAGCAATTTAGAAGGAAAAGATGGATGTCGACTCATTGTAAAAGTTTTCGGCTTGATCGGGGTTTCATCGTCGTTATCATAATCAGTACATTTTTTGATTGAAATTTCATCCTCTGTATCGGTCGTATCATAATCTTGAGTAGATTCCACATCCGACTCATTTTGAGTAAAATAAAGTGGCAGATATTCATCTATATTCGGAGGTTTGATATCAAGATAATCGTTTTCTTTTTCTCCATCACCATGAAGAATCTCTTTGTCCAATAAGATTTCTCCATTCATTTTGTTGTTTTTCAAATATATTTTGTCAATATAATCCACACATTTTGAAATATCCAAAGAAATAGCTGCTTCACGTATCATACCAATTTCATCAGCTTCCATGTCTTCAAGGCCAATGATTTTTCCAGTATAAGCAAATTCTATAATCTTGATAAGATCTTGCATACTCAATTCTTCATCGACTTCGAAAACTTCATTCCTATGAAGTCTTATTTTCTTTGATATTGTTGCAAATATGAGTTTATGTGCTTTCAAAGTCACCTGTCGTCTTGTCTTGGAACTGTTGACTTTGAATGTTAAATCGCAGAGCTTTCCGTTCTTCTGCATTGCATAGAGAGATTCCAGAAGATCTATTTGGTATGTGGCATGAGTATCTGAAACAATTTAAACATTCTGTTGAGCGCAATTATGTTGGTTCCACAAGTTGAAAATCTCAAGCCAACCCCCAGGTCCACCATCTACAACAGAGGTCGGGAACCCATGGCTCGTGAGCCATATATGGCTTTTTTGGTGACGGCATATGGCTCCCAGAAAAATCTACTATTCTAAAGCTAAGCTCACCATCGTTACGACATTTTAAACTCTTTTATAGCCAAATGTGGCAAAAAATTTGCGGATACGTTCGAGAATGCGCGGCCAGCGCATGTCTATGTTATCTAAGAGTTACCAGACAGGTATTGTGACAAAATTAGGGGATTCTGGAACATATTTTGTGACATCACAAGCGATAGAGTCGCGGAGCAATAGAATGAAGCTTTGCGTCTGTTTGTACGTACTAGTTACAGTATTTGTCCTATTCAAATCGGACTAGCAAAGCTAGTTTTTAGAATACTACGGATATGCCTAAACGAAAGAAGGTGATGACTATCATAGATTTCAACTTGTGCTGCATGTGAGCAGCCGTTCAAGGCCCGCAGCGACAACATGCAGCATCAGAAGTCACATCAAATGTATATTGACATTGTATGTGTTGACTTTGAGTAAAAATTTCAGGCCTGATTTAAGTGAAGAAATGCTATATGGCTCGCACGGAAATGCAGTTGAAAATATGTACCTTTTATGGCTCTCTTGACCAAGAAGGTTCCCGACCCCTGATCTACAAGATAACTTAGACCAGAGCCGAATTGCATCGAAGCTGTGAAAGCCCTTTATAAAAGGCAGATAATAAAGAACTTTTTTCATGTGTTTTAAGGTCCTAATTAGATTCAATATCCAGTAACTGAACGAGAGCGTACTTTAATATCCAAAATGGTTCCCATACCTTCAACTTCTTCATCCGGTTTTGCCGCCTTATCAAAAGATTCATTTTCAGAGGTTGGTTCAGTTTTTATCCATTGGAGGTTGTCTTTGCAATCTCCTACAGACAAAGAAATTCAAGGATGTAAAAAGCTTTGTGTAAAACTAAATTCAAGGCAATCAAATTATATCTTTCGAGTTCAAGAATAGGTATGGATAAATAAACAAAGTGACAGGTATAGTTCAGAGACCAGAAAAAGTTTTAGCATGACTAATTTTTTCTCTGGGCTACTCTTTCTGCTTTTTTAACCCATACAGATAGGAATATTTTTTTTAAATTTCACACCAATTCCATAACTATATTGCCTTTGATACCAAATTTGGTATCACCTTCTTTCACATTTTTTCAATAAATTGCATAATAAAATGCATGCATGGCATACCTGTGTCCTGTTTGTTTTCGGATTTTCGTCTTGTGTTGTCATACGACTTTGCCAAATTTCTCTGCAATTTGGTTTTTCGATCTAAAAAGTATTGGGTAAGTGTTTTTTGTATTCACATTGGAAATGCTTCTAAGATATTTTTTTGATAAATTAAATAGCTTATAGACTGCAGATTATACAAATTTTCAGTAGTGTACCTATAGCTCTAGGTTTTCATTTTCCTAAAAAGTGACTTTTTGTAGGCAGTAATTTTATGTGTGGCTTTTTGAATACAAAAGCAGCATTTAATCACATAGACAGGCAGAAACTACACATCTTTGTGTCTTAAATTATCAGAAGATTTCTGCACTTACTGTATGATAGGAAGCTTTGTCTTTCCCTCTTCACATTAGTTCTCATCTTCTGCATTGTGATATCATCTTTTGAATCATGATGGTTGGGCAACTTTTATAAAGAAAAGTTTTTTAAGTACATGAATGAACGAACATTTAAAAGGAGATTAACTGACAATGAAATAGTTGAGTACAATAAGGTGGTTTATCACGTTAGACTTAACTGTGGTTAAATCTCATGCCCCTACATCACCCAGGGTGTAATAAATTGGGTAGACAATACCGAACTTGGAATCGTTTCGATACTTCCAAAATAAAGTAGCATTTTTTATATTAGCAGCTGCCTATTAGCAGGGCCTTGTTCAGAGCGTATACTTTTGAGTAAAAATTTCAGGCCTGATTTAAGTGAAGAAATGCTATATGGCTCGCATGGAAATGCAGTTGAAAATATGTACCTTTTATGGCTCTCTTGACCAAGAAGGTTCCCGACCCCTGATCTACAAGATAACTTAGACCAGAGCCGAATTGCATCGAAGCTGTGTAAGCCCTTTATAAAAGGCAGATAATAAAGAACTTTTTTCATGTGTTTTAAGGTCCTAATTAGATTCAATATCCAGTAACTGAACGAGAGCGTACTTTAATATCCAAAACCTTTGGAATCGTTTCGATACTTCCAAAATAAAGTAGCATTTTTTATATTAGCAGCTGCCTATTAGCAGGGCCTTGTTCAGAGCGTGATGGCAAAAAGCATTGTATAAGAAAAAATATTTGTTAATGATAAACATTACCAGAATTTTACTTTTCTCGTCTCTTGGAAAATTCGAAGGCGTAACACGTTTTCGATGCCGGAAAGGGTTTCGTTCAAGTTTAGTTTTACCACCTGTGAAATAAATTAAATAATAAGTAACTTGACAATTATAAATTATCACTGATGAAATATGTTGAAACAGATTTCGCAACTTCCTAGGGGTCCGCGAGTACAGTCCAGGGATTCAGTAAGTTTCCATTTAAATCAGAAATTTGTTTATTGTTTGAACATTATCAAATACCTTAGGTTTGCCACTATTATTTAACTTGCTACTCTTTAATGATCATATTGTTCGACTAATACAGTATCAAGTTCGCTATGTGTTTATATTTTATACTCTAAAATACATGAAACTACTGCTCAGGAGCTTAAGCTCTTGAATTGCTCATAGGGGTCCTGCTCCACCAAAACGGTTGGAAACCACTGATACAAAGGATAGCAATACACAACATAGTAATAAATACTACGTACCGTACATGGATAAGTTCCTCTTTTTTCTATGTTTTCTTTTTTTGATTTGTGTGGACTGATTATATCTTATCTGAAACAGAAAACAAATTTGTACCCGACTCCACTTGTAACAGAAGTATGACTACAGATAAGACCAGCATCATTTGTGCACAATCTTGTAGGTGACATGTCACAGTATAGGGCTATAGGCTGTCGAGTTGAACCCCTGGTGTGTATCATCAGATTCATATATTTCATTTCGCCATGCATGAAACATTGTCAACAAATAATAAAAAATTAAAATGAATCAAAGACACACAATGTTTCGCAATCGCCGAGGAGTCGCGAAAGACTAACAAGTTATCGTGTCATCGACACCTATTATGCTGAATTACATCAGCAGATATAGAACAAGAATTGGGTTTATAACATACAATACTGAACACCATACAAACGAGAATATCGGTCGGAGACCGAAGACTTATCGATCTTAGATCGGTAATTAGTTAATAACTCGCTAATTATACGACATAATTAACCCAAAATCTATAGGCTTCTGGTCAGAGGTAAGATGCATGCACATGCAAAATTTGGAGCAGATTCAAACACGCGTTCGTGAGATATCGCGTTCATCTAACAGACAAACATACAAACAGACAGACAGACAAATACCTATCAACATACTTACCGATCTTAAGATCGATAAGTAACAACAACGATAGATAAAAAATAAAATTCGAAAATATGAAGAGCCATTTGGATTTATAGGGAACTGGTTGATTCGGGCAATGGCGCCATCATGCAATTGCGATATACCTCAAATAACAAAATAATGCTGACTAAGGTTGAATAAAACTTGTATTCAAATTATAAATGTACAAATAAAATATAAAATGTGACAAATGAAAAAAGTTACCATACCTTGTTTTCATTAGGATTGATTTTCTCATCTGGTTCTTGCATTTGAATGTTCGGTTCTTGTTTTCTGTCAAAGCAAATATGATATGAATGCTAGTATCAACATTGGTAATTAATGATAACAACCATTTTATGAAGTAGGAAAAGAAAACACTACACCATACAAATTGTTTCAAACCAGAGTTCATTGCACTAATAAACTTTTCTTGACAAATTTTGGGTAAAAGCTTCATTCTTACTTTTATCAATCTCATAAATACTAGTCCTATAAAAATATGTGTCAGTGGATAGGTTCAAATTCAAATCTCTATACCGTAAACTTACATTTTATTTTCATGAGATGTAAAAGCATAATTATGTTCCAACATCAGCCAGTCAACACTTTTCACCGGAATTGAAGTTGATTGCTCTATTTTCTGCAAAGAGAGTTGCCATAAGGTTTTGTTGTAAAACTGACAAAACAACTCAGACGTAAATTTACTAACAGTTAATAACTTCAAAATCTAATAGAAAACTTTTTACAATGCAACGCAGCATATAGTACAGACATATATCCCTTCATGAAATGCGATGCATGGTGGTCGCTTGTATTATCGCTAGTCAAAAAAATTATTAAAAAAGTATATCGCGACAAAAATATTATCATTAGCTATTTTAATAATACCAATAATTTGTGATTATCAAATGAAATACAGAATTGCGATCAAAATCAAGTGGTCCATTGGTTGCAAAAAAGTTTTTTTTTTCCATAAAAAAGCGACAAAACAACAAGAAGAATTTGTCAAAACATGCCATATGCACACTTCGTGGTGAAAAATAAAGTGTTGCCCAAGACATCTCTACGTACTGTTGACATCCCAAACATAAAGATGTACTTTGGTGACATAGCCAGGGGGTGGTTTGATGGCCGAACTCCCACTCTTTTGAAATGTAAAAGACGCATTTTTTTTGTATCAGACATTGCATTTTTCATAGCTTCAAAAGCTGTTTAGACCATTTAGCCGGACCCCCTGGCTGGTGAGGTCTAACTTGTCACTTAGATATTTCAGAACCACCCCTCCCTTTGAAAATTCCTGGCTACGCCCCTGGTGTACCTAATAATTTCATTAAAATGCAATATAAAGTCTGAAAGTTGGTTACGATAGGATTCACATATTTATCCCGATGGAGAGGAAAGGCGATAAGACGGCTTATTCATAGGGCTAACCACAACCTCTTGTCCGGTTACCATTCCAGGCCGGTTATGGGATCAGTGAGCCAGTTATTTGTTTTCAGAAGCATGAATTTTGGATAAGATTTACATATTTATCCCAAGGGAAAGGAAAGCCGATAAGACGACTTAATCATATGACGAACCACGACTTCTCGTCCAGGTCGGGTATGGGATTAGGTAGCAAGTTATTTGTTTTCGGAAGCATGGACCAGCGGTTACGTGAACCACCCTGCGCTGCGAGGAGTTCAGCAATCCTCTTGCACGTAATCATCCCCGCATGGGATTTGAACCTGCGAACTCACGCAGGGTAATCAGAGATCCAGTGGCGAGTGTATTCCTATACCTTAGCACAATGCACCACATCGCTGAGCCTTGATGGTTGGGGAAGCCATAACAGACTAGCAGTTACGTGAACCACCCTACGGCCGCAAGTAGACTACTCCAACACAAATCTGCAAATCACAATTTCAGAAACTCGAATTAATAAATAAGTAAACGCAGGTTTCTGAGTACTGAAGTATGGACAAGAAGTGACTGACCGTACACATTTACTTACAGTGAGATCTTGATGACGAGGTTTTTTCTGGATGGTGGATTTTTTCAATTGGTAGTGGTATGGCTTCACATCATGTCTTCTCCCTCTGTCGCATGGTTTGGTTTGAATTCTTTTATGGATGGTTGGGACTGCATCTTTCACTCTTCTTGCCGGATATCCGCATAGTTCCAAGGTTGGAGTGTTAAAATAACAGTCTTCCTCAAAATGGGCAGAGCATAATAAAGAGTAAGCAGAAGGGCCAGTCCAATTCTCCCTGGTTTGCTTTACAAACTGAGTCCATTTTTCTGCAACAATGGGATCTTTCGGCCACACCTGCATGCGAAATCCATCCCCACTACTGTTAGTGCAACCACCAGCAACACACTGCTTTGGCATAGTTATAGTATTACTTAATTTAGTAATATTAATGAAAATAAATCCAGAAATCACAGGCTTCCATACAGTTTATCAACAGGTTTTCACCATATGACGTCACATTAATAATGGCGCCTTGTTATGCAACAACGATTTCGACCAGTAAGATGTAGGTTCAGGTCTTCCCAAACTAGGGTCCGCGGACCTTTTGGGGTCCGTGAAGCAATTTTGGAGGGACCGCGAGACAAATCTGTAATATGGCTGATAGCTAGATAATACAAAAAGGAAGTGCTTAAATTTGCAAATACACATTTGTCGCCTTTTGCTGCTTCGCAATCACCGCTGGGGACACTGATGCTTCATTTTCTGTTCCGATTGCACTTCCCCATTGTGATGTCACAGAGCTTTGGGCCTGTGATATCACAGAGAGAGTTCAATCCATGCCACCACAAGTTTACTAATTGCCGATCTGTAGCTGAAGCTGCCCTTTTGCACGTTTACCAAATATCGGAACAGACTGGTTGTCACTCATGTCATAAAAGTTGTGCTTTAAATTCTTTTGTTCGTTTCATTATACAACGCATTAACTTTTTTTTTGTGATCCTTTAATGTTTTGTTTAACTGTACAAGGCAGGGAATAATTAAAAAGTTGCAAGGAGTCCGGTCATGCAATTTTTTCAAAAAGTTTGGGAACCACTGATTTAGGATTTCCGTATGGGTGAATAATTTGAATTTTCGAGTTCGGGATATTTTACTCAGCAATCCCTTCGGCCATTGCACATGCTAAAATAACAAGAGAAAAACGCGCAAACAAATGGATATGAAGGTTCAATGACTAACCGCTGTACTGTACCGGTTGGTCCGGTAGAAGGCCTATAGTCTTCTAACAAGGTCCTTGCTTCCGAAAACAAACAATTGGCTAATTAATCCCATACCCGACATGGACTGGTAACCGGACAAGAGGCCGTGGTTCGTCACTTGATTAAGCCGTCTTATCGTCGTCCCCTCCCCAGGATAAATATGTAAATCCTATTTTTATCCTAACTAAGGCACTTCATGTCTAAAGCGCCAAGTTTTCTTCGCTAAATAGATTGGCGGACAAACGTGACGGAGTCGGTCAAACACCATAGATTATAGAATATTCTGCAAGATGGAATAAAATGTGTAATTTTCTGGTAAAATGGCGGGGCCATAGCCTAAGACTCGAAGAAGAAAGGTTATATTCTTTGGAGGCTTTAACAATCTTAAGGTAGAAAAAACGAAATCTATCCGTCAATCAGTTATGGAGACGTAGAGAAGCGACTGTTTTTCGCAACAACAACAATCGCCCCAACAACAAAAACAAGACTAATAACCACAGGACTTGAACAAAACTATCCACTTGTCCACTACTTGGTCAGTAAATATATGCACTTTTCGTTTTTATCTCTTACTACTTTCAAATTTTTCTATTTCAGGAAAATCCCGTGATTGTTGAGTGAAAATCCCGAAACCGATATTTCTAGTTCAGTACCAAAATCTCAAACCTAGTCATACGGCGGGTTATCTAGTTTCAGTATATATATAGGATTACCATACATCCCGGTTTACCCAGGACTAAAGTGACAAGCTGCCCCGGCGTCCCGCCCGGTAGACTTAAATGTCCCGGTCATGCAGCATGTCAGTCATAAACAATTTTTTATATAACATTATTACAAATTTATTTATTTAACGAAAGCATTCAATTTATCGCTGATTCACTCGTTCGGACAGGAAGAGAGAATTGATGTGTTGTTATGTCGTAGGTATTAGGCCCAATGTTCATTCCGGTAATTTAACAGCCAATGTTAACTGCTCTGCCGATAAATTAACAAAATTAAATGGAAGCGTAAAAAGACGAAGGGCGATAATGTTTTCCTCAAACCTAAAAAAACTAGAAAGATACATTACGGGATCTATTATAGTATGTGCGGTTCATATACCCTAAAACTAAAACTGAATACAACATCATGCCATAGATACTTTTCCCTTTTGCGTAGGAAAGCCTTGTTGCCAAAATGTATATATGAATGTATTTATAATTACGCCGTTTGAATAACAGAACTGATAACTGTGCCATAGCTAAATTTCATCGGGTAGCCCTCGAAGGTGACCGAAAACTCCCCTACACAGTAAGCTCGATACCGACGATACGCATCTGTGTGGTAGAAGTGTTTTTACGGTAAGTACCTCTCCCAATCGATATTCCGCAGTCGCAATATGTCACTGGCAACTGCAATCAAAACAAATGTTTCAATTTGTTTTCGAAAAATTCATCGCTGAATGACTTCAGAGACGGAGTCAGGCATTTACTCGTTTACCAATTGCTCGTTTATGGTATGTGTGGTTTTACAGAGTGAACTGGCTAGTGCCTATCACGAAAAACTCCAATGTCAACGACTAATTTATTCTAATGTGACGAATCCTTTCCCCGAGCACTCGGGCATTTGTTTTAGCCCAATTCCACTTCCAAGTTCAGCTCCAGTAGCCTAAACATGCCAAACTCCGACTGTACAGTGCTTGTTGTAATCCCTAATGAACAGCAACCATTTAGCCTAAATATTCCTTGATTTCGAAAAAATTAATCCACTCATTTATTGCATTTTGTGTATGATACCATTTTTCAATCTTTATTAAAAACTTTTGGAATCTCCAATGCAATTGGTATGGCTTCTAGAAGCGTTAAAAGTTCGAAAGAATAGCGCAATTCAATCATTAGGACTTCGCAAAAAATGCCAAGCCAAACATAATAGCTTAAATGTTAAATATATTAGTCACTGAGTATCTATCATCCGCCGTAAAATGTTAGATCACTTTGAATGGGTTTTAAAAAATGATTGGTTGGTCGATTCCTAACTCAGCCGTGGAAAGCCCATCCCGCGTCTTACGTGAAATATCAACCTTTTGTTCAGTAAATGTGTCAGACCGTGTGATGCAACAAATATTAATATTTAATTTTATTAATTTATTACTAATATTATTATAAAATTATTTTATATGCCTGTGAATTGGATTTTTATTGATTACTTTGTAAAATACCGGCAATATTAATGTGATCGCTGGGTAATGTTATTGGTACTGATCTACGTTTTAACTGTACGCCAAACTTATGCTGAAACTAAATCATACCTCAGTTGCCCGGCGTGATACAGATTCCGATTTGCTTTATTATTTACAATGGGTAAAATTGATAGAAATACTTACAAATATTAAATTTAACGCATTTTTAAAGGTGCCTGTCACATCATGCGTAAAACATCACGACAGGTCAATGAACTAACTTACTAATAATAATTCAATTCTCGTGGTCTGCAATTTCAAAGAGGCTACGATTGTTCATTTTCAGAAAATAATGGTCAAAGTAGTTAATAGAGAGGAAATGGACTTCTGCATTATAGCAAACATTATTTTAACCATTGCATAGTCTTTTACTTCAAAAAATTTCTAACCAGTTTTTCACTTTGCAAGAATGATATTGTAGCAAGTACTCAAGGATGATTAATGCGGATTTCTATGTAGTTAACCACTTGTTGTTAATAGTGCATGTTTTTGCCTGAAACAATGTCGCCGTCCGACTCAATTTCCTTCATCATTATTTCCAAGAAACGTTTTATGCGAGAAAAGTTGACGACGTATTTTCCACCCTCAAGTGTTGCTCGTCCTTGTTTTTTCGTTCTTTGTTGGTTAGAAGCTTGGTTTCATCACATATACTTGTTTGAAGGATTTAAGTGTATTTCGTTATCTGTTATTTGGACCAATGCGATTGTGCAATTTACAATATACGAATATTTGGCACTACACGTCATTGTGTTCTTATTTCATCTATGAAGAAGTCAGTTGGGGATTCCTTTACTAAACTACGTTAAATAGTACAGTAGAAATAACACGCAGGTAATATGGCCCGTCTAATTCCTATGATATAAGATATGTATCCACACGAACGTTACACGTAACCTCGATACAAAACGCTAGAAAGGAATGCCGAGACGTCTATTCAATCAAATCGCGATGGAAACGTGCAGTTGATATTTTTGTATACAGTGCATCACACGTTTTCTTTTTTAACGAATAATAATTTTAATATTAGTTGCATCACTTTCGGTAATTGTACAACGTTCAGAAATTTTATTTCCTAGCATTTGCATTGGTTTAACTACTGTTTCCATTGATTATTTCGTTTTTTTGTATGGAAGACGTCCAGGCAAATTGAAGGAGACATTGTGTTTGAAATGTGTGATCAAATAAAGAAGGTAAATTATGTTTACTTTGGTAACCGCTCTAACAGTAAAACAATAACACTTATGAATATATACACATGAGGAATTTTACTTTAGATAACATTTAATGAAAATGAGAAAAATAGAGGGACAAGAAGAGAGAAAGAAATAAAAACACACTATATATTTCAACGCATACATATATTATAAAACTTGGTCAGAAAGTCAGAAATGTTCGATTTATTACCTTCCGTTGCCTTCGAATTCTCTAGAATTGCAGTGTCGATCTGTTAGCTGTAATATAAAAAAGGAAGACTTTCACACGCTGTTATATTGAGAATAGAGTAGGACAATTCCCAAATGCTAAAGGTAATGTTATCCCTCGAGAAATCGGCCGCCGTAATCTGTACACCGCGGTTTTAGTGGAGTGCTTTTGTGCCAAATTTGAAGAAGCATTCTATCGGGCGCTCCAGAAGTGTATGTAACAACAATATGGAGGTAACTAATTTTGTTTGCCTATTTTACATCAAGTTGTGTAAAGGGACTGGAACCTATGAGTATGTTTACTTAGCTAACACAGACAGTCCCCGAACTCGTAATTGAGCTAAAATAAGGAAAATCGGAATAAAACTATGGCCTAACCCTAACCTGGTACATATACTACAGGAGTACCTTCTTTCGTTTGCTGAAATGTTTTTGAGGCGAAGATTGAAATTTTTAAACAAAACGCTATTTTTTTATAACTAGTTATAAAATTAGTATTTTTACGTTTGCGTAATAGGCCTACTAATAACAGTAGTCGGATGTCTTGTACTCTACTATTTTATTTGGTATTCATGATCGGATTTGTGTGCGGTGATACTTTTTTAAAGACTAAACTTAAATTAAAAAATAACAGACCCAACCGTACACGCACAGTTCAACATATACATTCCCGTTTTAGTCAAAATCTTTCATTTTAGCATGTGCCGTATCTCCACCCGAATGACTGGCTTTTCCATGACTGTCTTGGGCCTACTCTTTATGCAAATTTTATTCAGAGCTTTTAATTTTTCAACCGGAATTTCGAATTGATTAAATTTCCGGGAAAGACAGGTTATGACAACTCATAGTTAATCATGTTGTTACAACATATTCGTATTTCCCACCAATGTAAGCGTACACTATGAGCCGGGCCGTAAATGCGCTTTCTGTCCACAGATCACACCTACAAAGGGATTCCATAAATTTCAACGATCAAGATGATAATGTAACTTGGTTTATTATTTCGGCAGAGCTCATCAGAGTTAAAAGTTTCCTGATTGCTTCCTTCCTTGCGAATAATGAACTTATGAATAGGTTCAGAGTTTTCTTCAATTTGTACACGAATGAAAGAATCATGACGGAAGTTAGGTATAACGAAGTTCCGATGCGTTTCTTTTCGGATGAGCGGAGTCTCGCTTTCTTTAACAAGCTCATCAATCATTTCATGTCTGGTTCTGTCAGTTTGTTCTGAGCAACGCTCCAAAAAAGCAGAGAGTTTGGAGGGATTAGAGGCAGCTTAAGAATTTTCAGTTGGGCATATTAAAAATGGCCAGAGTGTCTAGCTTTGGGGAAAGAATTTTTTGTCTTTCTTGCAGTTTAGCTCTTGCATGAAAAAGTTAAAGTAGGCCACGAAAGAAAAGGAGTTGAGAACCACTGCCCTAAAAAAATGAGGGTATTGAGATCGTTTGGTTAGAATACCAGAAATGGTTTTGTTGGTAAAGCGTATTTATATAGACGTTAACGTTTATGATAGTAAAATTAGTAACTTCTTAAACTATATCACTAGTGAAATTTGAATTCGTAAAAAATTCCAGTATTCACGAGGATAATGTTAATGTGTGGCAGGAAATGTAACAACAATGATATCAGCATGAAATGCACCCAATACACAATAGCATATACTTGGTGCATCAAATAAAGCGACGTTGCACATTACTTTCCATATAGTTCCGTAGGATAGGATTTTCATATTTCTCCCGATTGAGGGGTAATGGCGTACCACAGACTCTCGTCTGGTTACCAGTCCACGTCGCCAGCCGGTATTTGTTTCTGATACATGGACTTGTGACACCGATGGACCGCCATTATGCTTTTGATTCGGCAAAGTCTACCCTACACTATTTATCGCATGGTCCATTGGTGGCTCAGAATAGACATGGCGGCTTTCTCCGGGCATCCCATAGGATACTTCGATAATACCTGTTACGAACGTGCGACATTTAGTAATAAATATTATTTTTTATATTCAGAAGTTTTAGAATATAGTTTTATACCAATGTTTATAGTTCGAGTGTAAAGACGAAAAAATAATGAGCGAGAAATCTTCTTCCAAGGTAACCTGTTCAATTTCTAATTATCTGCCCAAACATATGAATCGCGAATTTCGTTTGAGATATCCTTAACGTCATTAACTATAAAATACGGGTGGTCTGTTTTAAAGTGAACTATTATAGACCCTTAACAGGCCGAAACCTGTATTTGTGAATTATTATAGCCAGTTGTAATTCTTTACCATAGTTGCTGCATAATTTGGAGGCTAATGGTTCACAACTTTTTTTCTGTCGTGCCCCATTTTTGTTGCACACTTGGGTATGCCAGGGTAAAACTACAAGAAAATAATTCTTTCAGCAATATTGAAACTTTCACTTAAATATTTAGAATGAAGATTACTACTCAGCAAACAACAGTAGCATTATTTATTGCTACAGTAATTAAAATTTAACTAAATTAGGGACGCAAATGAAACTAAATTTATCAATAACTCTTGCAATTTTGATAGATTTTTTGTGGCCCAGAAGTGAGCCGTGGCCCACTGATTGACAGACCAAGTCTAAAACACGAATCCGACTTGATGCTGAATCTTGAATTTAACATTTTTTGAGCGTTGAGTTGAAAATAAACACGCGCAGCATTACATTACAGGAATATAATGAAATAATTTGATAATTCCGTTCTTCTAAAAATGAGCACCATTGAATATATTAGGGTTAAATCTAGTAAACAGCTTACCTAAAATAGTAAAAAGTGCAAAAAAAGCGTATTCGTTTCAAAGACGGACTGCAGTTTTGATGTACATGGGGAAATGCATTGAATATTTCTCTTTTCTGTATACCTTATTTTATTTGCCTGGGTTATTATAAGTCATGTGTTAGAATAAAAGGTCTAAGACCCCGACCACCAGTCCAAGCGGGTTAGTTCAGCCGGAGTCACTAAGTTGCAAGGCCCACTAACATCATCATGTATGAATGTTTTCTTCGCAGGACGAAGCACAAGACAAAAGGCAAGATGGAAAGGAACAGCAAGAATCTAAAACGAGGACTGAGAATAAAGGTACAGCTTTGACTATGTGATCATTTGCGTTATTCGTTGAATGATTAAAAAAAATTGTCAAAATCGCAATTTTTCGGTTTATTGTAATTTTACGACTTTTGCTGTATGAACTCAAGTCTAACCTCGTTTTAAATGAAATTCTTTGGGTGTAAGTAAGGAAATATTTATACTTCAATCTATTATTAAGAATTTTCATAATATGCTAAGTCTATTCTATATATTTACTACCTTTAGCTTTGATTGAACTAATCGTCGTTGAGAGTTCATTACTGTAATAAATATTAAAATACAGTTTCTTCCGCCATCCTAGTTAATAACTGGTTTGTTTTTTATTTCACCCCTGAACTCATAACCGAAAGTAGAAGTCATGACATGTTACAAGAATGATTCGTTTTATCATCTCCCTCTCCAACGATATATTTTTGCATACGGCACTTATTCACGTTTTTTGTTCGGAACAAGCAATGTAACGCTTCCACTGATATCTAATCGATCCTCCCTCGCATTGATAATACATAAAGGCTCAGCTATTCTCCCATTGATACTTAATAAAAGCTCAGCTTTTTAACTAAAGTTCAATTATTCCGTAATAACAGAGGGCGGCGATGAAAACGAAGATCTTGATGAAGAAGCAGACAACGATCAAGATGATGAAGGAATCGATGTGACACCAGGAAAAGAGAAATCCAAAACAAAGTAAGACTATACTAGAGGCGTTTAACATATGGCCCGCGGGCCACAGTACGTGGAACCCATTCACGTGGGCCGTAACATACTTCGTATCGACCATTTGTGAATGCTTTTTTCATTTGTAACGGCACCATTGGCATATTTGATTTTGTATTGGACTCGAAAGGGTAAAATGTATGGTACTTCCGAAGTGTGTGTAGCAGGTTAGGGTTAGGCCGTAATTTTATTCCGATTTTTCTTTTTTACTTCTATTACGAGTTCGAGGACTGCTCGTGTTAGCCAAGTGAATATCCATCCCCCATGTCTCTTCATACAACTTGATGTAAAGTAGGCGGACAAAATTAGTTACCTTCATACCGGTACACACACTTCTGGAGCACCGAATGTATTCCCGAAAAAAAAAGATCGATAATGAAAAGCGGAAGGAAGTTTGAAACTGAGTGAAGTCTGAAATATTTCTTGTTCGGCGCAATCAAGATGTTATTTGCCTGATTTGTCAAAATACTATAGCAGTACGACACTATTGTGCAAAACGTTCGGCTGGTTACGATACTTGGTTGTTCGATAGTTTTGTCCCAGCGTCACATAACCTTTACGTTATGGCCCGTGTCCCTGGATCAACATACGAAAAAGTATTTGGTGACGACGCTCTTTCTAATATATAATATTGCTAAAATACAGACCACCAATGCTGTTAATAAAGCTTTCATCCATACACATATAATTGACCTCTTATACAAAGTTTTATGCGCTTTTTAATTAGGCTAGGATTTGATTGACATATTTATCCCGGGGAAGAGGAAAGCCGATAAGACGGCGCATCATATGCGAACCACGGCCTCTCGTTCGGTTACCAGTCCTGATCGGGTGTGGGATTAGTTAGCCAGTTTTTTTTTTTCGGAAGCATGGACTTGATGGTAGAGGAAGCCGACCAGCGGTTACGTGAACCACCCTACGGCCTCGAGGAGTCCAGCTATCCTCTCGCACAGAACTATCCCCGCATGGGATTCAAACCTGCGAACCCACGCAGGGTAACCAGGGGTGCGTTGGCAAGCGTATTTCTAACGCGTAGCACGATGCGCCACACCGCCGAGTCAATCTCGAACGATGCTCTGTACAATCGACTGATAAGCTACAATATTTGGAAATACTGGGCCTCTCTTCATTTCAACATTGACTACTCAATTTGTTACAAAAGGGCATGAATTTGATCCCGGAACTTTCGACCGGTGATGCCGATATAGTCAAGTCGGTTAGGGTTTGGCCATAATTTTATTCCGATTTTCCCTATTTTAGTTTTATTACGAGTTCCGGGACTGTCTGTGTTAGCCAAGTGAATATACCCCCTGCCCATAGGTTTCAGTCCCTTTACACAACTTGATGTAAAATAGGCAAACAAAATTAGTTACCAATATATTGGTACACACACTTCTGGAGCACCGCCAAGTCCACCGCTTTTACCACGAGAACAGCCCGCTAATAGTTGATATTTGTGTAACATTTTGTACTATATTATATTTGCATTGCCTAACGATATTGATAACTGTACATACTTATTTTCCAGAACAGATCGTAAAAAATTATCAGAAAGAATCGAAAATTTTCAAGTTCGGATAAAAATTCACGAAGGAAGACAAATGACAGGATCGAATATTAAACCAGTGGTGAAAATCAAATGTGGACCGAATCAAACAAAAATAACAAGAGTAAAGAAAGGGGCGTCTCCCGTCTGGGAAGAAGTAAAAATAACTTATATATATACTATTTTTTCAAGCTATTTTGAGCGATTTAGTAAAAATGTTTTTTTTTTGGCGTGTACCAATATGGAGGTAACTAATTTTGTTCGCCTATACTTTACATAAAGTTGTGTAAAGGGATTGAAACCTATGGACAGGGAGTATATTCACTTGGCTAACACAGACAGCCCCCGAACTCGTAATAGAACTAAAATAAGGAAAATCAGAATAAATTTATAGCCTAACCCCAACCTGGTATACATACCAGGGGAGTACCGTTTTTTAAAATATTTGCTACGTTTTATACGCTTCTCACTCTCAACAAGGCTCTGTACAGACAGGGTACAGGGTTCCGCATCAGGTTTCCAATTTATTACATCCTGGATTAGGTGGCGAGCTTGAGGATTGATTGGGTACAAGTTTTTCGAACCGAAACCGATACCAAAATAATTAAGTCAATGATTTAACTTCTAGGCTATCTTGCCCACCATCGACATGCATCAAAATTGAGCAAGAAATATGTTTCAGATTCCGTCAACTCCTAATTTGGCGTTCAGATTGTTTTAATTCGTTAATTCGCATTCTGGCCCTATTAAAATGCGATTTGTAACGATACTCATAAGAACTTAAACCTACTTTATTTTTGGTGGAAATTTTGTGAATGTTTTATAATTAATCTATCGTTTGTTCAACCATTGCAATTTGCAAGTGTTTCACGATTACATATAAAATATTGAAAATTCAGATTTGAAATACGACTTAACTTGACGCTCAAATTGTTTTAATTTGGGTATTCCGACCCTATTTATAATGATCATTGCAACGATCTTGTGGAAACTAAAACCTACTCTATGTGGAATGATTTATATGTATTCAATGGCTTGTTGACGCATTGCAAGCGATTAACGGCTTTTACATAAAAATAATTGGAATTTAGATTCAATGTATTCCTTTAATTTTTTACGAATTACTGTAATCCACCGATAGATGAAATACGACTATCTCAATTTAGTTATACTACACATGTCCCGCGGTTATTGCACATACGCCCAATTCCCAAAAGGGAATGATAAACTTGTTAAGGTATAACTTATTCTTGTCCAGCTGTTGATGTACAACTTCAAAGATTCGCTGAAGAATTTATATGATTATGTGGTCGAGTTCACGGTCAACAACTCGAAAAAACTGAGAACGGATACATTGATTGGATACTTCAAACTTGATCTGGGAAATGTATACGATCAAACAGGTAGTGTTTGAAGTTGTATTGTACTGATTAGTCCTAACCAGTGGTGGGGTTCAAGGGTTACGCGAACTCTTTTTTGGAATATTGTCATATCAACGAACCGGTTTTTGTTTTCTTGTTTGTTTTAGGCGTAAGACTACTATCGCAAATAAGTAATGTGTACCGCAGCTGACGACTATAATTACATATTTGACGTTCCCGTAAACGCGTCATGTTAATGTAACTTACGTAGAGACATAAATACATTTTTAAATGTGGAAAACTGTGGTCCATGAGTTTGTAGCGAATGGGGAATGTAACTTTGTATTTCAATAGTATTTCACTACTTTGTATTAAGAGTATGTGAATTCAATGAATAGATCAGTGTCCCATTCATTGAATTCAACATACTATTAATACAAAGTAGTTCAATAACATTAAAATCCATAGTCCATCGCCACAAGTTACAAAAGATACAAGATATTCGCTGATTCTTAAAATTGAATCTTACCACATTCAACACGAATGGCTTTGACAGTTTTAATAGTAATTTTCAAGTTTGAGTCATATTTCCACATCTTCGACCAAGCTTATGACATCTTGCAATTCCAGCATAATTTGCTGATGCATGTCAAGTTGTTTTTTCTTGATTTTTACATCCCTATTATTCCTATAAAAACTACGAAATAACTGAATAGTTAACTTGTTTCATTTTTTCAGATCATGCTCATGTTCGCAAATGGATCTTGTTGACTGACCCAGAAGATAGCAGCAACACCCCTCATGGATATCTTAAAATAACAATATGTGTTCTTGGAGCTGGAGATGAACCGCCAGTATGTTTTTTGTTTGCAAAATGTAATCCAATATCAAAAATAACGAATAATTTTTCAGATCAAAGAGAGCGAGGAAGGCGCGCGGCTTGTAGAGTGGACAATAAAACTTTATTAGCGTATTGATGAATATTGAAAGTGTTTCTTCAAACTAAAGTTTCAATACATATTTTTTTGAAATTGGAAGAAATTTGTAAACTGGTTTGACGGCCCTGCAACTTTATCTTTTGTATACCAATAAAAACGTTCTCCACATTTTCAATCTTGTCCGCAGGCGCCCCGTACCCTTCCAATTCCTATATGATTACCCGTAGTACAGAACATAAAAACAAATTTAGGCTCTATGAACATAAAACAAGCAGTTCCGGAGCCAAACCCAATCGATTATCATCCTTGAGTTGTAGGCATAAACAAACGAATTCGGTCTGGAAAATACGACATTGCGGCGTGATTTTAGTGCAGAATTTTGCACTGAAACCTTATGCTAATTAGAGTTTGTTTTGAAACGATTTGAAAGCTTCCGTCTGAGTTCCAACTCAATTTTTTATCAATATATCATACGGAAAAGCATCTGCACGCTTGTGAGTCACGTTACTCCGTGTTGCGACATAACAATTTGGTTTGGATTTGGTCCAACATCACGTGAAATTTTCCACAGTTACGCAACTTTTATCCTTTTAAAACTAGTAAAACAAATTATTGATTTATCACATAAATTAAAATGTAAATCAGACATACAAGGCTCACGATTTTAAAAGGATTGCACCTGCATGCGCCCGAAGATAGTCCACAAGTAACATTTTTTCGACATTAAAATAGGCTCTAAAGCTGAAATAACACAATATATAAAATGCTGTCCATAATGTTTGATATTGTAAGTGATAGTCTTTATAACATCAATTATGTATTATATGATTCGAGAGTCATATGATTCGAGATTCGAGAGCTTCACACAAGAACAAATATTTTATGTAACGTTTTGTCTGACCGACTGTCAGACTTCTTCAAATCAGACGGCCAGACAAAACGTTGCAGGAATTTATTTGCGTTAGTGTGTGCAGCAAGACTACTGAATCCGCAAGTGTGAAAGACGAATATGCAGTCAGTTAATCTGACGTAACTCCAACTCATTATTGAAAATTGGTTAAAATCAAATTAAATGAATTGAATGAATTCTTAACTGCCGATCGGTTATGAGTTTATCCAACGGTCAATCGGTTAGTTATTCCCATACCGGGCTTGACTTACAGTATGTCCGGACAATAGACAGTGTTTCAATTGCTTATTCGTGCTTTATTGTTTTTCCTTGCCCGTTGTATAAATAAATAATTCCTAATTACCTAAAAATAAATTATTTGTTGATTTTGCACCCAGGCAGAGCAGAGCTCATATTCAAAATATTCAAAAACCATGACCCAGATAAACAATTTTCTAAAATTTCAGAATGAAAGTGGGAGTGCCGAAGACGATGACGTAGAAGGGTAAATGCATTGTTTTTTAATTCTTTTTATATATATATATATTTTTATTCTCAGTTCCTGCAAAAGTTATCACAATGAAAGATTCTAATTCACTATAAATTTAAAAGGGGCAGACCTGGTTGAAAATACATAATTTTTCCGTCTTCCAACCCCAAATTGTCACACTAATACCGGATCTATCTTTCTTTTTAGGAACGTTCTCACGCCTGCAGGGGTCACATTTCAATCTGTCAATTTTATTTTCCGGTTTTTCAAAGCAGAAGATGTACCTCAGAGTGAGTGTTTTACGACATAGAATATATATAAATATACTATATCTATATGTATCTATCTATATCTATATCTACTATATCAATCTACTGTACAGTATATGTTGGGGGGCTGTGTGTATGGGGCAGAGTTATCGACTCGATTTGGACTCGAGTGATCATCTAATAAGGACGCAAATTTACTCAAGTGACGTAAAGAAATGTCGCCGAATCCTACTCAACTAATCGCCAGTGATACTCCGTGATTGACTCAACTTCGGATTCGACTCGAGACTGAAGGTTTAGGTCAGCTAACACTCCAAACATTACTGAAATGATAAACAGAGGGTGCCATGGGTGCAGAAAGCTTCCGAAAGGGGGCCACGAGCCGTAAAAATTGAAAACCACTGGTTTAAGGGCTTGTACTCGAATCATCCAACAGATATGATTTGGATTCGTACTCGATTAAACGCCAGTGAGACTTAACTGGGCTAGTGACTCGGCTACGTACTCGGATGTTCCGTTAGCCTCGACATTTAGGGACTTGCACCCAAGAGTCTAAATCGAATGGCTCAGCACATACTCAAGCAACCTGCCTGCGAGATTGAAGTCAGTGAATGACTGGACTCCGTACTCTGGTCGAGACTCGGATGATTCGTCTCCTAATTGAAGGACTTTACTCGAGTCACCTAACAGAAATAACTTGAATTCTTACTCAAGTAACCGCCAGTGAGACTTTACTCAGTGATTGACTCAAATACGAACTCGTATGCCCTGTTACTCGATTTGACTCTTTAGAGAGACCTTCTATCCGAGTCATCCAAATGAGGTGACTCGAGATCGTACTCAACTAACCACCAGTGAGACTTAACTCAGTGATTGACTCGACTCGAGTCTTAGAATTCAAGGATTCTCAATCTTTTTGTGTTATGAAGCCCGTGAAGAGTTTGACTATTATTTACGGAGCCCCGCAAATCAGACACTTGAAAAACATATTTATAAGGTAGTGTCGAAATGTGGCAACAATGAGGTAATTGAAATATAGCATTATCTATTGGAACTTCTGGAATAGATGATTATAATGTCGGTATTGCTTATTTGGGCAGTTACAAAATTAGCCAAATCAGTATTTTAATAAGTAAACGAATAGCTCACGGAGCCCTTTGGTTTCTCTCATAGAGCCCAGTGGCACCGTATGGAGCACTTTTAGAACCTATGACTTAGATTAGATGAACCATGGGCTATGACCCAATTTGACTGGGAGATAGGGAATTGTGCTAAGTATCTATATTTATATTGGACATATATTCCTTGCTAACAATTTGAATCCTATTTTGGTTTACAGTGGACACAGCTGCATTCCAGGGAATGAAGAAATTGATTGGATTTGGAAATGATTCCCCGGATGCTGAAGAAAAACTTGTTGACACTTTTGCTGAGATCAAGTAAGTACATCATTCAAAATTGTACGATAAAAACAACCAAGTAAGTTTGAGTCCGTTCGTATATATTTATACATGTTTTTAATGTCCACTGTTGGAATTTACTAAATAATGGAGTAGTTCTTAAATATATTGGCACGGAGTTTAGAAATAAATTTGCAAAGTAAGAAGTTAGATTTACCTATTTATGCCGGGGGAGAGGAAAGCCGATAAGCCTTTTTGACCCATGGGAATAGTTAATGAGGATTCCAGCAATCCTCTCGCACAGAATTCTCCTCACTGGATTCGAACCTGCAAATCCGCGCACGAAAATCAAGAGGTGGTGAGAGAATCCAAACGCTTAACACAATGCGCCACATCGTCGAACCTATCTCCAACGAGTCCAACCACTAAATATTTGAACACAATAGGTCAATTAGTTAAAGAGAAATTTATTCCAGTATCAATTACAAAAACAACGATTCGTGGATTCACAACGTGTAAAAGAGTTTGCCTTCTCTTGGCTGTCGTAGTGCTTTATGTGTAAAATATTCAACGATGTCCTTGCAGATTTATTGGGAAAAGACAAAAAACTAAAGTGATTGAAGAAAACAATAATCCGGAGTGGAACGAAGAATTATGTCTGCCATTAAAATTTCCATCAATGTGCAATTTGATCAAGATCAGACTATACGATTGGTAAGTGTATTTATTTAACAAGACAGCAATGCTCAAATATACAGACACGATGGGTATTTGACGAGTATGGCCATCGCAAAATAAGCGAAATTCCAGCAAAAAATTTGAAAAATTAGTAAAAGTGCTAGCACTCCAAATTTTTCATATTCATCCAATTGGTAAGAAAAGTCGGCACTCCCGTAGTGTTTGTACCAGGGTAGAGTAAGGGCATAATTTCATTCCGATTTTTCTCATTTTAGTTCTTTTACGAGTTTGGGTACTGTCTGTATTAGCCAAGTAAATATACTCCCTGCCCATAACTTGATGTAAAGTAGGCGAACAAAATTAGTTACCTCCATATTGGTACACATGTATCTGGAGCACCGGAATATCAATACAGCACGAAAAAGCAAATGAAACACTGTTTAGTGTTCGTGCATTAGTCCAAGCCGTATATGGGAATAGCTAACCAAATGATCGTTAGAGAAACTCATAACCTTTCAGCAGTTATTCAAATCCTTTCGTGCCAATTATACAAAAAATGCACTCATAATAGTGTGAGTGAAACATTCACTTATATGTAGAGAGAAAGCTATCGTCGAGTTAAACAATTTTCTGTATAGTTGTAGTAACTGTATACTAAAAGAAATTTCAACACAATCTTAATTTTTTTCCTTTTTTAGGGATAGAGTTGGCACAAACGATGCCATTGGATCTTTCAGTCTCCCAATTTCCGAGATATCTTCCAACGATGAAGATGCAGGTAATTGAAATTTGTATTAAAGTATCAGATGAAAAATTTATGCCTAAGTTTTGCTCCAAGAACTTCAGTTGTGTGGAATTCACTTTCTCATATTACCTTGGCAAGTCAGAAATTAGGGTCATGAAACTTGACCCTGAGTCGACTAAAATTTTGACTCTCACATCGGCTTCCAAAACATAAATTATATAAACCATAAGAACAAAATTTGGTACTCCAGTAGGATGTGTACCAGGTTAGGGTTAGGCCCTAATTTTGTTCTGATTTTTTTTATTTTATTTCTATTTCGAGTTCAGGGACTGTTACTCAAGTAAATATACCCCCATAGGTTTTAGTCCCTTTACACAACTTGATGTAAACTAGGTGAACAAAATTAGTCACTTCCATATTGGTACATACTTCTGAAGTGCCCGAAATTCTATTCAAGGTTATTCGCCCGTTTCCATTCATAGCTCTGGCTTCGAAATATACGGCTACAACCGACGGGAATTTGAAAATAGAACCCCTGCCCCTACTATAATATTAAGCTCCAGTTATGAAAATGACAGTTTTTACACATCATTTTATAAACCATTCACTCCGAATAGAGCTATGTGTAAGCAAGCATTACTAGATGAGGAGCCACTATATTTCCACAGTACTGGAATCTTTCCATTCGATATTGTTCAGGGCTATTTTTACGTCACTATGCATAGACCTTGTTTCTGTTTATGGTTCGATTTGGAATGAGGCTTAATCTATGGTTAATTAACTTTTTTAAACATTGACTACTTTGCAATTGGTACATTAATATGTATTATGATAATAGACGAAAAATATTAGTAATGATACATGCAATTACAAAGTAACAATCCTAAAATAACAATAAAATTGATTTAAAACGCTGGTCTAATCAAATGCAAAATTTGTCAACTTAGGTTTCTTGCCGACGTTTGGACCAACTTTTATAAACTTGTATGGCTCACCAAGAGAGTTCTCCAACTTGAATGACCAACTAGACGACATGAATTACGGGAAAGTAAGTTGCATATAAATCTTACCGTTCTACTTGATATCAATGTAAATATTATGCAATTCAATAGTATGCATGCAACAAATGACCAAATGAACTTATGTAAAATATTCTTCTTCGAATACGAAACTTCAATCTCTCTAGTTTTTATTCTATGCAATTCATGAGCCCTGCTACATACTAACACAAATGTACTTGAATTTCTGTAACGTTTTGTCTGACCAATATCAGACTTCCTCAGACAAGCAGTTTACAACATTTGTTGAAATGTTACAGAAATGCATTTGTATTAGTATGCAGCAGGACTCTTGAATTGCATAGAATAAGAACTGGTCAGCATTTTTTTTTAGATACAAATAGTACGAGAGTCATTTGGCTACTCCCCAAACTCGTAATAGAGGTAAAATAGGGGAAATTATGACCTAACCCTAACCTGGTACACATACTACGCTCCGGTGTCCGCCATCTTGGTACACGTACTTCAGGAACACCACTGAGCTTTCTACATCTCACTTTACTTGTTTAGTGTGGTGGCTGCGCTTTCAGAGGGAGGCTCATGGTTGAACTGAAAACAAAACTGCAGGACGACACGGAAGAAAAGACACCAAAATCCCAACCAATTGAGGATGACATCATAGCAGCAACCACAGTAAGTTTGAATTAAATTTCCATAGACATTAATTGTCGCAAACCAAATTTAGACATCCATTGATCTGGTCATACTGTTGTCAAGGGATGTGCAACCTTTAATACAAGAGGATCAGATACAAATAACTAGGTGAAATCAAAGGCCGCGCCTTTATTTCAAAATAGGTTTTCTAGTAGTTGCAAGCACAAAAATTTGGAGGTATTGATCTTATGACGTGCGTTCTTCGCATTGCACAAGCTAGCTGTTAGAGCGTTGTGACACATATACACATATACATAGATAATAAATTGAACTCAGGTATAGGGTTTGTAACACAAAGAGATTGGGATTACTTACTTAAAATCTTGTTTCGCTTGCTGCACATCATTCAAAATTGGCACTTCTCCGCGGACCGCACAGTTCTTTCTTGAGGGCCACATCCGGCCCGCAGAAAGCAGGTTGCCCACTTCTTCTGTAGTCGAATGCTTATATTATATTCCGTCCGATGTACAACCTTCAACTTAACTTGAACTAAAAATAATAATTATTTACACGCTAAAAACTTCAAGGGAATTATGCGGCATCACATCGTCTATTACACAATATTCTATTTTATATAATAGAAAGAAAGCAAAAAAAAAACATGATTTTTTTTTCAGAAATATATGCGAAGACGAAAATATCGCTTGGTCGTCGCTTTCTATGGAGCGAGTATGATTGAAAAAGCTGATAATGCAGTTGAATTCGAAGTATCAATAGGAAATTACGGGAATAAATTCGACGTTGATACACCCTTAGATTCATCAACTACAGAACCCACAAAACCAGTGTTCGGAGGTGTGTGTGTAGTATATATGAAAATATATGGCGTTTTTAACAATTTAATTATTTTGCGCCAGACACTTTAAACCAATTTTTTTACATGTCTATAGTACTCTCTTGGTGGACTTCACAAAATCAAGTAGTGAAGGAAAATGCTAGGGCTGCTTAAGATAGCTCTGATTTGAAAACCAATGCCATAATCGTGGCGTTTTATCTTAAGTACCTATATGTCGTTCCTTTTATTTATGCACGACAGCTCAATGTTCGGAGTTAAATATTACAATTTATGTTTTTGAACACGAAATGTAGGCTACATATGGACGTTTTGCTAAGTTGATGTGAAAAAATTACTTTTCTCCGTAAGTAAAGGGCCGATCAATTTTAAATTCTAAGTACCGAGCTTAAAGGCTGGATGTAGTCGCTACCAATTCGTCCTCCATCAAGTCCTTACACCTGAAATAAAAAACGGTCATATATTCCCATATCCGACATGGACTGATGGTAGGACAAGTCTTCATGGTTTGTCATATGGTAAAGCAGACTTATCTGGTCCCCTCCACAATGTGATAAATATGAAAACGCTATCCTTTTAAACGATTTACCGGCATTTTTTCACGGTACTCTCATCGGCTTTTCTTCTATCTTGGGTCAGATATGAAAATCCCATCCCCTAAATTATCGGTATTTTCCTCAAAGTACTCTCACCGCCTTTCCTCTCTCCCTTGATAAACATGAAAATCCCATCCTAAAACAAATAATTTGCATTTTTCTCAAGGTACCCATTATTCGTATGTCTCCTGGGGTGCAAGAAAACCAGTAATCTGTTTGACTTCATACTGGGAAGAAGTTGACTTTCGCTATCATTCATTGAATGTTCTTCTGAGAATGGTTTCATCATTGGTTAGTAAAAACGTCCATATTTCTGAAATAAATTAATATTTTATTCCTAACTATGAGCAAAGTAAAGCGATCAAATAGAACAGGGTCTGGCATGAATTTGAACACAAAAGCATCAACCTGTGATGCTGACATATAGCTAACATTTTACGTGCTAGGCAATCGTTAATTTATATTCTGTGGGCATTCAGTATCTACGAGTTGTCACAAACTTTTTTTAAAAATTTCAACATAAAAAGTCTTGATCGCGCAGTTTAGGATTCGTAGAACCCAATATGCAGTATTTTGAGTGCGATCAATAATGGTGTTTCTCACAAACATTTTGCTAATAAAAATCGTCTATGTCTCAGGAAACCGACATTGATCGCGTAGAGAAAATGATAGACGACAAAGAATTTGGAGAAATGGAGACGGCATCGGAAATTGTAGGAATTCTGGATGATTTGATAGGAGCGTGCAGGTAGATAGCATAACTACTTGTAATATGAAGTTGTTTGAAATAATAGTTATCTTCGCATTTTGCACGTAATTGTACAATCAAACCTTCAAATATTTTTATATTTAACGTTATTATTTCAAACAAAATACCCCTGACATGGGAGCTATATTTTTTAGGAATCCGAAATCTTTTCGCCAAAGTACTGCCCACTAAATTCATTACACCTGGGTTGAGGTTGTGATTACAAGATTGGAATCCGAGATTTTAGCCGTCTATGTAGACATAGTCGCAGGATTTAACTATCACAACCATTTGGCGTAGCATACATACTATTCCAAACCGAAACTATATCAGCATTTACAAATAAACACAGAAACTCCAAACTGTGCCAAGAATGGTAATGGCTGTGGGAGACCTCTTAAAAAATCATATCAGAACTGATACTGAGCTTTTACCCATTTTGTAAATTACATCTCGACTGTAAACTAAACTTTACAGAAAAGGAATCCCCGACCCACGAGGTAGGAACGTTGCAAATGCTCTAGATCAGCGAGTGTTCCAAAGAAGAAAATTGCAACTTGAATTGATTATGATTGAAGCAACTGAACTTCGACGAACTTGTACTGATGTTCGGTTAGCTCTGACATCGCTGCAAGATTACTTAGAACGTTTAAAAGAACTGGCACATGAGGTAATATATACATACATAATGTAGTGTTTTACATAGAGTCGTACTAGGCTTTCTATAATCAAAGAAATATATAGGAAAATGTGAGATATATCTCGTCTTTGGATCGGGGCTCTGTTATCGGGAAAAATGTACGCACGTTTTACCCCAGGTTAAAATAGATTTTCTCTCGGACTCCCTACTCCGAATTGAGAAAAATTTTGGCTTGGACTCCCCACTCCGGATTTAAAAAAAACTCTGACTCCCCACCACAGATTGAGAAAAAACTCTGACTCCCCACCACAGATTGAGAAAAAGTTAGGACCGACTCCCAACTCCAGATTAAGAAACATTTTATCTACGACTATCCACTCCAGATCGAGATAAATTTTGACTCCGGCGTCCCACTTCGAATTGAGAAAAATGTTGACTCCGACTCACCACTCTGAATTAGGAGAATCTTTGACTCCCCACTTCGAAATGACAGAAATTTTAACTCTACTTCCACCCCGGATTGGGAAAATTTCGACTCCCGACTCCACAATCCCGATTAAGAAAAATTTCAACCCCACTTCGGATTGACAAGTATTTTGACTCCGACTCCCCACTCCGGATTGGAAAAAAATTTGACTCCTACTCTCCATCCCGGATTGAGACAAAATTCTGACTTCCACTCCGGTTCCCATCTTTAGGTTGTAAAAGATTTTGACTCCGACTCCCCACCCCAGATTGAGAATTTTTTTACCCCAATTCCCCACTCTGGATTGAGAAGAATTTTGACTCTGACTCTCCACTCTGGATTGGGAAAAATTTTACACCCACTCTTGTTTCCATCTTTGGGTTGTAAAAGATTTTGACTATGACTCCAGTTCCGAGGAAATCTAATTTGAAAAAAAAAAATTTGGTGGATGCAAGTCATGTTTTTTTTTCAACCAGTAAAAAATATCACTCAATAATAAATTACAAGAAAATGATAATTTACACAGTTTTATTGGGGGAGGGGAACCAAAGCTGCTTATGAACCAGCGACACCCACTGTTAGCGTTCTATAACTGGCTTTTAAAAACGCTCAGTAAAATTCTAATTTTTTCATCTAAAAATTCTGTTTAGCCGCAAAACAGTATGCCCGACGTCGTCATATGGATGATTTCGAATAATCAAAGAGTAGCGTATGCTAGGTGAGTACCAAGACCTATACAAACTTTACATCAACTGTAAGAGTATGAAATGATTGCGCTGATATTTTTTCACAGAATTCCTGCAAACGAAGTCTTATATAGCAAAAATCGAGACCAATACTCTGGAATCATGTGTGGTAGAACACAGACTATTTTTCTCAAGGTAGGAGAAAACACATTGGGTTATTTTAGTTTATAACTAAGAATAGCATATTTATTTTCAAAGAAATAACAAGTATAAATGCTAATAAGATGCCTGTTAAGTGAATTAGCTGAGTTTTTTTAAGCGCTTCTTCGATGATGTCTTCTGAACCTTTGCGATGCATTCTTTTAATTAATAGTCAATTAACTTCACCGTTAATACATTTCACATTTTCACTTTAATTACATTTTGAGTAGTTGGACAGGAATTATACATCTGGATCGTTTTATTTAAGGTTGTTGTTCTTTTTCATTTTTATTAACATAGGTATAGGCGGAATGGGAACGATATCCCACAAGTTAACCTTCAAAACGCAATACGAGCTTGGACTTCTAGGTTAAGACACTGCTCTGAAGTGTGCAGACGACATTTTGAGCATCTATAAGTAGAATATAACCTATGCCTTTAAATCTTTGTAAAAGTTATTCTAAATAAAAATGTAAGGCTGTTTGATAAATATTTTGTTTATCTAGCGACCACTCTGTAAATATGGTAACCCGACTGTCTTATTATCTAATCCTGTTTTATAGTGAGTTTTTTTACACCAAACGTACAGTTCATTTCTTGTTTGGAGATAACGTAAATCCATTTATCAATAAATAATACCAGGAAAATATATGTTAAAAATTTAAAATATTATATTCAGTATCCAACAACAAGCAGCAAAAGTAAAAAGAATTACAAATTGCTTGTCAACTTCAAGCAATGATTTGGCTTGGGCGAGCAGCAGACCAAGAAGATTTTAATTTTGATTCGAGAGGACAAATATCTGTTTACGCGGACATGGTATGGTACAACCAGTGATTCCCCCCTAAAGTGGGTGAATACACCCATAAAATTTCAAACACCTCCAATTTCTAGGTGTGACTCCATACTTTAATTCTTCACGTAAATAAAAATGTATTCGAATATTCAGAAAGTGGCTCATATACCAACGAAGATGATCAGTCAAACACATAACACATTTTTATAAGTTACAAATAGTTTTATCACTAATACCAAATATCTACCACCCTTCTAAATTTGGAAACATTTTTTGCATTTTAGTATGAAATTCAGCAGAAGAATCCAATAAGAGGTTGGATATCCGATGGCTACAAAGATCGATCAATGAAGGTGATCATATTTTTTTTCATAAACTATTTTATCTTTTTCATCCGATAGTACTGTACGGGTGCATGGCCAGCATAGCCATATAGTAAATCCAGGTCTTTCGCCTGGTTATCGTCTATGTTGATAATATGAACAGGTATCCCTGTTAAATTGACTAATATCACCAGGGACACGCATTTATTGCACGATTATATCAGATATATTATCTTATGCGGCAACCGTGCCACAAACTTCAGGATCTAGATCAAGCCAAACACAAAATGAGTCAAGCGTGGAATAATTACTGAAATGAAGTGAACATGCAGTGTTGCCAGAAATTAATTTATTTAATATTACAATTAAACATTACCGAAACAGATGAACGTACCAGAACTATGGGGAGGGTGAATGATAGAGGAAGCTGTAACCGATAAGAAATCTAGATGTCTTTTCACACATAATCATCGACCACACAATCCTGCGAACTAGCATTCTACTAGCATTCAGAGTAATTTCAAGAGTTTAGAATTAGACCACCGCGCAGTCAACTTGACCTTCATATGGGATTCATATCAATTAACATGACTTAAAAGTTGTACTCAGCGATAATTAGGTTCTTGCGTGCTTGTAATGCACATAATAGCCACATACAGACTTTGTCACAAACATACTTTTATTGTGCTCCTAGGCCGAACCCAAGCTGAAAAGACTAACTTTAGCTGATAGTGTATACTGTATAATATAGCAGCAGCTATATTTTTTTATGTGAAGCACAATAAACCTATCTTTCAGATATAATTTGTTTTCACTACCACAGATTTCACTTTCAAAAGACAAATTTCTTTGTCCATCAGGATGGCAATGGGCTGGAGATTGGTTTGTTAATCCAAAATCAGTTGCTTCCAACAACTCACTTACACGCGAAGTATTTACAGAGGTAAGTTATTGCAAATTTTAAGTCGCCTTAATTTGATAGAGATACCCAAGCTTGTAGCTTCTATCTCACATATTAATTTAACTTAACTACCGGTAATCACTCTTGTTATTTAATAAAATCTGAAAATCAATTTAATGCTGAAAACACTGAGTTCTCCGACCATTTCAAAAAAAATACTGGCACCTTCTCAGAATCTGACCATATCTGAGTGCGCTACTTTTTATATAGAATAGCAGACACTAAGACACCATTTTAATATAATCAAATATCACATTGTGTCCATAACCGAATTGCTTGGCACTGAAGACCTAGCCTAATACAAACAAATATCCTGTTGTGTCAATAATCAGATAACCGACACTAAAAATCATCTTAATGCTACCAAGTACCATCAACTCAACAAATACCTTTTATTTATAATTCTATCTTTAAATGAAAAATCCCCATATTTTATTAAAGAATCTTTATCTTTTTGCGATCGTTGAGTCACAGGGTTACATACTTCCTTGCAATATCATTCTTTTACGACATATTCCAGGAAGCGTACGAAAACCAGAACCGGTTTGCAGGTGAATTGTGGGAAGAGCAAAGTTATCAGAATAGCGAAGACCAAGCTATATCTAGCCTCGATGCTATAGGTCTACCTGAAGGATGGGTGTGGGAAACCAAATGGAATGTGGACCATGGAAGACCATGTGATGAAGATGGTAAGGGTGCTGCTATTGTGTGAGGTCCACCACACTATAGCGTGAGAGGTCTTCTGATACATAATGGATATCACTAAATTTAAATTTAATGATCACGCCATAGATTCTATGTCGTGGATCTGTCTCTAACGAAGTAGATCTGATCTCAGACTGCAACTGGGTAGGCGACTTATGGCTGTAGCTATATTGCTATGGTAATATCGGGTTACAATAGCGAGGCCTTACATCAGTCCGTCAGACATGAAGTTAAAAATTGTATCATGTATGTATCTGTAGGTTCAACCCGCTATGCAATAGGCAATATTGATACCTAAGATGTTTCTCGAGATCAATTTTTTCATTTTCAAGTATGGTCTGCAGTTTAAAATTTTATGACATATTTCATCATCGAATATTACAGGATGGGAATACACAAAAGATGCGAATAAGAAAAACCCAATTTGGGAGCAAACAGAGAAAGTATTTCATCAAAATCGAAAAAGAAGATGGGTTAGGACAAAGAAGTGCGTTGATGCGAAGATACAAGCAAAAAAGGAGGTGAGTGTTCCGTATTTATTAAAGTATTTTATTGCCATGTGCCAGCGGGGTAAACTGCGGACAAAGTTTGGATAATAAAGAACAACTCCAAACCTCTCCAAAATGCTACCAGATAGAAATGATAAAAGTTGTTTTTCATGAAAATTTGATTAAAGCAAAGTCCTCATGGACTCACTAAAAAAAAAATAATTACGGCGGAAGTGTATTTTGCGTTTTGATTTAGAACGAATAAAACACTGGTAAGTTGTGCTGGGTTAGCTTCTTTCTTGGAAGCCTGAGACGGGATCTAATTGCAGTTTTTTAATGACGATAAAAAAGTTGAAATTTTCCACAGAAACTAAGTACGAATTAAGTTAACTAAGTGTTCTTAACACTCTCAAAAGAAGGCTTCCATAAATCGAAGTTTTTTGATTTTCCTACGGTTCAAAGTTAGAGTCGGGGTCAAAATTTTTTACTTCCTGGAGTCTTTTTTTTTCGATTTCAATTTTCAATTTCCCCGACTCCACAGCACTTCTTGTAATACTCATTTGTATAATATTTCAGCGAGAAAAATATTCCGCCGAGGAAGGATGGGAATATGCAAGTGATTTCCGACGAAGACGAAAATGGCTGAGACGTTTGAAAACCGAGGATTCGTCCCGATCAGCGATTATTTTCAATCTTTCGGATCAGTCGTTTGTGGTGAGAGCCGCTATCACACTTTTTACTAATTGGGGGCGATAAGGTGATATGGAACTCAAAATGAAATTTATGTAATTGATTTATAAGATAATAATCCTTAAATATATTGACAAGAAGGTCATAATAACGTTTCCATGTCTTATAAAAATTTTCAAGGTATCATATGAAAATGTTTCCATACATGAGATAAATTGTTCTCTTATGTCATATCAAAATGTAGCAAAGCAGCAGCAAAATTTATGGTGGAATAACTGGTACCGTAAGACACAGAGGAAATTTGAAAATAAAATAATGGCATCTTCAGTCATCTTCAAGTTCAAGAACTTATAAATCGTTTGGTTTATTGGTTTCAGGAAAATCGGTATTATTTAATACAACCCCAATAATTTTGCACACCTATTCATATGTACACCTCGCGTCTATTTAATTTTCATAATCGACCTGAATGATCCATTTTCTAGATAACTGACGAAGGATTAGGTGAGGAGACTGAGCCATCGGAGGATGAACTTTCATCAGTTCGAACAGGTAAATTAACCAGATTAAATAATGTTGAGTTATTTTGGGTTGTGCAAGGGTACTCCTGTAGTGTGTGTATCGGGTTAGGGTTAAGCCATAATTTTATTCCGATTTATCCTGTTTTGTTACGAGTTCGGGGACTGTCTGTGTTAGCCAGGTGAATATACCCCCAGACCCTATTTTTGCCAGGTTTTAGTCCCTTCATACAACTTGATGTAAAGTAGGTGAACAACATTAGTTACCTCCATATTGGTACACACACTTCTGGAGCGCCAGAAAAATGTTGAATTATCTTTTGTTTTGCGAGACTTGCATGTATTATGACAAATGTACGTCAACCGAGAAAAATGCTTGAAGTTTTCAAGTACTTCAGAATAAAACATAGTAAGGCTTGCTATTGGCTTGGTAGCATAAACGTGCTATTGACTGATGTGACGACTGAAGCGGTAATGAGATTTTTTTTGTGAATGCGTGTTTGTGAGCGGGTACATGATACTCATCTTGTTTTAAACTTTTTTAAAGTTTTGCTTGCTCTCCAAAATTCTCCATTTTCAATTTGTGTGTATTGTCAGATTGTGGAGTTTTCGAAATAAACTATCTATCTAATTCTGTCTATTCACGCTCTGTTGCACAAATTTTCTTGTAAGGTCCAAAGGATGAACACAAAGAAGAAGATAAAGAGAAGAGTCCTTCATTCTTCAAGAAATTGAAAAGTTTGGGAAGAAGTAGCGACGACAGCGATGATGAAGGTTTGGCGTTTACTGAGTTTACCATTCTCCTTCTGATAAGGCGCTTTGATGCCCACACCCCCTAACAAGGCCTTGTATAAGTAGCCCAGAAACTGATGTGTAAAAAAGGGATCTCTAGAAGTATGTGTACCAATATGAAGGTAACTAATTTTGTTTGCCTACTTTACATCAAGTTGTGTAAAGGGACGGTAGCCTTTGAGCAGGGGGTATATTCACTTGGCTAACACAGACAGTCCCCGAACTTGTAATAGAACTAAAAAAAGGAAAATCGAAATAAAATTATGGCCTAACCCTAACCTGGTACACACACTACGGGAGTACCCCCAGGTGAAGTGATGAACACGAAGTTTACACCTGAGATTAGTATCCTGCGATGTCGTCATGACAAAGATAGTAATCTCTTACATATTGTATGATATTAGTTAGAAGTATTTGTACCAAGATGATGCACAACCTGAACAACCCTAACCTGGTACACATACTATGTTCAGGTTGTGCGCCATCTTGGTACGAATACTTCGGGAGCACTGATGCTTGTACCGGGTCTTGTTCGTAGCTAACACAGGAATAAGCCTTGTGTAAAAACAAGAAGAGTAAAAACTGTTTTATCTTTTTAGAGAGCGAACATGAAGAGAAAAAGGGTGAGAAAAGTCCTTCCTTCTTCCAAAAGTTGAAGAAGATAGGAAAAGATGGCGACAGTGACAAGAAAGGTTTGATCTTATTTAAAAACTGCGATATACACAATATATTATTATAGAATTAATGCAAATCTAACTGTGCTAAAATGTTAAAATTCCTTCATTAAATTTCAAAAACATGTATTTTTCCTGGTGTATTTTGCCTCTATCAGTACTTGATATTTTTCATGCATGACTTTCCTCAATTAGTCAAACAACCGATATAAAGAATGTACCACCATCAGTTTTTTACATTATACGTGGCAGGTTAGTGTGGCTGCCCTGAAATCCAACTAGATATCAAATGGCAGCGCAATTAGCCTTCCCAGAAGAAGGACATTCAAATGGCGATGGGAACATTGTATTTATATATAATTCCGTTAGAATAAGAACCTTGGAAGAGAAAAATAGAACACCTAGTATGTAAATTAACAAATTTTATATTTTTTATCAACAACAGCCAAAGTTAGAAGATCGATGCCAAGTCCGAAAATGTATCTGGATTTTCAAGGTGCAATTCCAATACAACTTCGAGTCTATTTGTACCAAGCAAGAGATTTACTTTCAATGGATCAAGACAGTTTATCCGGTACAATTATTATACTATTAAGTATATATTGCAATGTAACAGGGGTATTTTTTCTTTATATATTGATGTATATATGTCAAAACATGATCAATTTGTTATTTCTTTTGTATAGCTTGAAATCTATTTTGCATTTATATTCACAAATACTGTAAAGTAAAGGATATTTTCTATTATGTATGTGTTGTAACAAAATATTTTCTAATAAAAATGTATAAAATATGAGCCCCAACAACAACAACATTTTAAGCAAATGATTCATATGTACACTTCCTGTCCAGGGAGGAAAATTCGGCTAAGAGCATGTCTTTCTGAAATTTGGTATGAAACTAAAATATCTTTGCTATTAGCTACAATAACAAAAATATAAACCCAGCAACAACTTCAAAGAGAATTTGGCAGTACGGTCAACTTGTACATTTTGTGTCCAATTATGGAAAATAGGGTATTCCCTAAGTATGTGAACCAAGATGGTGGACACCACAACATAGTATATGTACCAGGTTAGTGTTAGCCCATAATTTCAGGTACAATTACTACGGGAGTCACTTGGCGAGTCCCTAAACTTCTAATAGAACTAAAATATGGAAAATTGGAATAAAATAATGGCCTAACCCTAAATTGGTACACATACTACATTCCGGTGTCCGCCATCTTGGTTCACATACTTCGGGAGTACCGAAAATAGAACTACAAAGTCGTATTTCTGAACCATGATATAAAGCTAATTAGGAAAATATTTTATTTTCCAGATCCATTTATTTTTGTTTCTTTCATGGACCGATGCGAACGTACCCGAGTAATAGAGAATTCACTGAACCCTGTTTGGAATCAAACTTTGATTATCGACCTGAATTACTACGGTGATCTGAATCATCTACGTTCTTCCTGTCCTGATATTATCGTGGAAGTGTTCGATAAAGACGATATTGTAAGTTTTTTTTATGTTGAGATTTTTGTTTTGTAAACTATATACACTGCACCTCTAGATCCGTATGCGAAGTAAATTACAATGATACTTTAGCAAATTGAAATAACGATTTTGCTATAAGAGGAATCTCTTTTTACATAACACAGTTTTGAGACAACACAGTTGGTCGGGTAGGATTTCCTTGTTTCGCTTCGGTTTTGAGCAAAGCTGTGAACTTGGAGTACGTTTACAATCGGCTCTGACTCTGGGTTAAGATTAAGAATAACTTAGATCATGGGTTCTCAACCATTTTTCTTTCATGGCCCAATTTAGTTGCCATGGCCCATTAACTTTCTCATGCAAGGGAAAAACTACAAGAAAAACAAAACATTTTTTTCGCAAAGATAGACACATTCACTTTATTAATTGAAATGCCAATTACCAACCAGAGCCAAAATGCAGCATCATCAATCATTCATTGCTACAACAATCAAAGTTTGATTACTGAGGCAATTTGTGAAAGGTCTGTGGCCCACTTGAAATGTTTTTGTGGCCCTGAAGTGGGCCATGGCCCACTGGTTGAGAACCGTCAATTTTTACTTTTATACTTCGACACAAGCTTCGAGAAAATCAAATTTCGATAGCGAAGTTGGCATGTTCAAGTCTTCTCCAATAGAATATTAAGAACACTTTGTAAAATCATTACATCAATGGTCAGGCAGTGGACGAGGGATTGTCAACATACAGTAAAACCCTTACTTATTTATTTCCAAGTTACGAAAAGTCTTTCCGCAGAAAAATTGCTTCAACTAACCAAAGATTCTTCTACATACGAAAAACGCTTATTTTATATTAATTCAATGCAGTGCTCAAACTCGTGACTTTTCATACCGTTTCTGTGTTTAAGGCTAGCTACCACAAGGCCACCGCCCTTCATTTGTAACAGGTTAACTTTTCATTTGCCAGGGATCATTGGAATTCATGGGAAGTGCAGCATTTCAACCTCAGTTTAAAATTGATCCAGAAGATTCAACGATGCCTAAGTTGGCTTGGTACGATATACACAAAGGAAATGCAGATGCAGGAAATTTATTAGCATGTGCTGAATTACTAGTGGTAAGCATATGCGAATAATATGGTTATATAGCTTACATGGGCAATGGACGGCCTGTGGGCCAAATCCGACCCGTTGAGTAATTTAATCTGGCCCACCTGATGCTGCCACAACCAAACTAAAACCAAATTTTGATAATTAATCTAAAAAATAGCTGAAGGAATTTTTTGAGATTACAATTAAATTTATTAGTTTTGGTACAAGGCTTATTGTTTTTCACTTTTGTTTTTGTAACACTGTAAATATTTTTCATAAAATGTAACTCTTACGTCACACTTACATGGTCCGCCAGTCTAGGTGAACAACATTTTTGGCCGCTGGTCCAAAAACCTTGCCCACTCTCCTGTTATATAGCCTGTGATGGCAGTGTCCGATTATACTGTGCTCACAATATACCTGTTATTTCGTAGTAAGAGTGATTATGGTATTCTTATTTATTTTCTGAAATTTCACATTCACTTTCACCATTAGTCCACATAGGCAACTTTTGTTTTTATGAACACTGCATGGTTAAAGCCATTGGAAAAACGAAAAAAATTTCTGTTAGCAATGGTACTTGAAAAAGCCAGTTCAAGTTCATGCATCTGTAACTGGCAAACTACTTCTATAATCGACCTGTACTGAGAAGCGGGAAAGAGTTTATGGTTGCCACATTATTATGTCACCTAATAGTCTTTATCTTCCTCACAAATAAAATGTAGAATTCTATTTAATTAAATTCTAATCCCAACTTACTAATTTTTACTATAACATCAGAAATATCCCGGAAGAATATTGCCGCTTCCTCCTCCACGGCAAATGGACATTTACCGAATTCCGATTGGGATTAAACCTGAACTGCAGAGAACAGCAATCGAGTTAATGATATGGGGTGTGAGGAATATGAAAGCTTTCGAGTTACTTAGCGTTGACAAGCCCAGCGTCGTCGTTGAGGTGAGATATCTGTTTCTTACAAAGCTATTATAAGAATGATTGAAAATTGACATATTAGCTTGTTTTTGCTTCTATAAAATGATTCAGTGCCGCTTTGGTATGCGACCTCCCTCACTTGTCTAACATGATCTCAATCGCATAAAGACATTCTCATAGAATTCAGTTCCCTAACTAAAAATGGTGCTCCAGAAGTGTGTGTACCAATATGTAGGAAACTAATTTTATTCGCCTACTTTACATTAAGTTGTGTAAAGGGACGGAAGCCTATGGACGGGGTAATTTCACTTGGCTAATACAGACAATCATAAACTCATAATAGAACTAAAATAGGGAAAATCAGAATAAAATTATGGCCTAATCCTAACCTGGTACACACACTACGGGAGTATGCTAAAAATTACACAATCATTTTGATCGCATACCAAAGTAGCACAGAATGATTCTTATCATTTTGTTACATTCACAATTTCCCTGTTGTTGTTAAAATCTAGCCCGTCGGGTAATTCAATATGGCCCGCCTGATGCTGCCACAACCAAACTAAAACCAAATATTGATGTTTTAGCTAAAAATAGCTCAAGGTATTTGTTGAGATTGGGATTAAATTTAGTTTTGGCAAAAGATTTATTGTTCTCCACTTTGCTACTGTAACACTGTGAATATTGTTCATAAAATGTAACTTATTACGTCACACTTCCATGGCCCGCCAGTCTAGATGGGCAAGATTTTTCGCCCTAGGTCAAAAAATCTCGCCAACCCGGGACTCTAGCTACATGATTTAGACTTGAGGTCCTCTTTTATATTCAGATTGGTGACGTCAAAATCCAGACGGAAGTTATCAAGAATCTAAAAAAGACTCCGACGTTTAAAGAACCGATACTATTTGTAGAAGCGGTAATATTTTTTCTCACAATCTTTTTTTTTAAATTCCCAACTGTTAACCATGATATGTAACATACGGTAAAGAGTAAGCAAGCTGCGTTAATAACAGATGGAATTCATGAGTTCTCTCTGCGCTCATAGACAGATAAAATCATATTTAAAAAAAAACTGAAGATTGTATTGTAACTGTAATATTACATGTCTTTTCAGAATCTACCAAAGAAACAAATTTATTGTCCTCCAATTTTGTTTCGCGTCAAAGACAATAGAAAGTTTGGTCGTCGTCCCACGGTTGGTCGACATGTAATATCTGATATAACAGAAAACATAGTTCCTACTCCTGAAATTGAAGTAATCGAAGAGGACGAGGGATTTGGCAAGTCATTTGTGATTGCATTTTTCTTTTTTATTCTCTTTATTATCGCCTTTTCCTACCCATTACCTTTCATTTCTTCTGCTCATCTTTTCTTATTTCATTATTTTCTATCCTATTTATAATATTTATACCAAGAAATCAAATTAATCTACAATCTACAATGAAATTAAACTAATTTAATTAAGAAGTTGGCGGAAGGTTTCGCAATCTTTTTATTTTTCATTCTCTCACTTGTTGCCTTTTTCTAATTCATTTTCTCTTTTCTCTTCTGCCTTTTTCCTCCATAATTTTCTCTCCTATTTACATCTACCACGTGCCACGTCTTTGCAATAACTTTGTGTTTTCCTTCCAGACGGTGACACCAGTATTGAAATCTCTCCGCCCTCACCAACGGCAGAATGCAATGTAGAAGTGGTGAGCATAAGCAGAATATATTTTTCTTTAAAAAAATACTCTAAAAAACAAATCGAGTCTGTAAGGTAGTTTATAATATCACTCCAATGCTAGACACGGGCACTTATTTATAAAAAACTACACTATTTGTTTAATATCTTGAATCTTTTTGGGTTCACACAGCGGCATTTTACATCCCGGGTAAGGTGGCCATTGGAGCTTATCTATAGAACTCTATTCTGTAACAAAGTTGCAAAGTTACCTTAACAAAGTCCTACGAGCTTAGGCAACCAATGGGCATGAAACCATTTCATCAGGTACACCATACCAGTACCATAAGCCCTACCAAGCCATAAAAATGATCCGAACCTCGCCATACATGTTGTTTATATGAGACTCCTCGCTGTATCACTTAGCCATAAAAACTGCATGGTAGTTTAACTTTAAATGCAATTTGTTATTTGCATTTTTTGAACAGCAAACGGATTACGGCGTGTTGAACGAAGCAGGTCCAAGCGGACTGCAGGACGAAACAAACGACCAAGAAAACCAACATTTAATTATTAAATCGCCGTCCGAGAGGCCAGAACGCGGAAACGGCAGTGTCTCGCCAAACGGAACTGCTCAAACAGAAATTGAAATTTACGATCCAAACGATGCAGATGAAGAAATACAAGAACCGGAAGAAGAAGCAGGAAGCGACGATGAAAATTTTGGTCAAAGTATCATATCGAAAGTCGACATATTTCGCAAGAAAATCATCGACACAATTCCAACTGTTGAAAACGAAAAGGTCTGTATTAATCGAACACATTGTACGATTTTATTATTTACTCTAACGTAATCCGGTACTTCCGTAGTGCGTGTACCAGGTTAGGGTTAGGACATAATTTTATTCCGATTTTTCTTAATTTAGTTCTATTACGAGTTCGGGGACTGTCTTTGTTAACCAAGTGAATCTCCCCCTGCCCATAGGCATCAGTCCATTTACACAACTTGATGTGGATTAGGCGAACAAATTATTCACTTTCATATTGGTACACATACTTCTGGAGTGCCCGTAAATGATTCTTATCTGGAATTACACACAATTGACACTAAATTGCCAAGAGATACTTAGATTGTATAAAATTATGATGGTGCATTACGCATTAGTATCGACTGTCAATACGATCAGGAGAGCAGCTATGAAGTATTAACGCCTATATTTGAATGTACATATAATAGGATAGGACTTTACATATTTATCCGGGGAGAGGAAAGCCGATAAGATGGATTAATCATATGGCGAACCACCGCCCCTCGTCCGATTACCATTCCACGTTGGATATGGGATTAGTTTGTCAGGTATTTGTTTTCGGAAGCATGGACTTGATAATCTGATATTGTGACATCTAAACTCCGGCCTGTGCAAAGCTTGCCTTATATACTGTCAAGAATGGTGAAATCAAAAGCGAGGAGTCGACATTGACGTAGGCTTTTGTAATATAAACTTGGTATATTGTGTTTTCATGTTTTTTGCACATATTTGAACAACAATCAAACTGCTTTATTTTTATTCACTCGGATTAGGAACTCAGGGACGATGAAATGGACTGGTGGTCAAAATATTACGCATCATTGGGAGATGGGAGCAAGTGTGGACAATATCTGAAAACCGGGATGGATACTGTTCAAGTATGTTTATGATTTACTTCAACAATTAATCAAACATAGATCAAGGTAGAATCTAGATTAGGGGTTCCCAACCTTTATGCTCACCCTGACCTTATGTCAAATTGACCAAAGTAAAATTGCCCCAATTTTTCATACTTTTTATTCTACAAATATGTGTAGTGAGTGATTTAATTTAATTGTGAAAAATGTGAATTTTTTGATTGCGAAATTTAACCCAATATAGATTACAAAGGGTGCACACAGGGGGGAATATACCCCTGGTTTGAGATCTACAAGATGGTCTGATAAAAAGTAATATTCAATATAGTAACGCAAGCGTTCTGATTTCAACTACAGAATACATACAAAATTTCCGAATTGAGAAATTTCTCCACGGTACTGATATCTGCCAAATTACCTCTGAATACCAATTTAGATTTATTCAAATGAGCTGGAAAACGAAGAACCGTACAATCAATTCAGCGATTTCATTCAAACTTTTAAACTATTTCGCGGGAAACAAGGAAAAGATGACGACGATCCTCCCCCGATTGTAGGGGAGTTGAAGGTTTGTATAAAAAAAGTTTTAAATTGAACTTGAAAGGATTACAGGATGTCAATAAAGTCCTTTCGCAATTTCAGTTCTCAAGATATCTTAACCAGGTTTGTTGTATTTTTATCAGTGATTGTTTAAGTATTTTTACTTCATTTGATACATCTGTGAGGGCCAAAACAATATATGGTATTTGCAATTTAAAAAAATTTAGTACTCTAAGGTCATCCTATATTTCGTTGTTTATGCAAAAGCGACACAGCTGCCTAAAAGTTCATAACTGGTTGGAATATGTGTGTCAAAACCATACATAAATCATGTTAGAGATATTTAACGAAATTGAGTGGACGGCGGAGGGTTAAATAAACACCAGTTTCTAACTGTGACAGTAAGTTATTGCTGGTAATCCAATACACAGCGTCAGAAGTAAGCAATAAGGATGGATATACATTGTTCTTATCCGGCGCTCTAGAAGTGTGTCTACCACTATGGAGGTAACTAATTTTTTTCGGCCATTTTACATCAAGTTGTGTAAAGGGACTGAAATCTATGAGCAGGGGTATATTCACTTGGCTAACACAGACAGTCCCCGAACTTGTAATAGAACTAAAATAAGGAAAATTGGAATAAAATCATGGCCTACCCTAATCTGGTACACATACTACGAAAGTACCCCTAATCCTACAAAACTTCAAGTACTAAATGGAAATGCACATGAATGGTTGCCAGTAAATTTGCTCAGAAGTCAATCTCCTTCACCGCTGAGTGAGTGCGCGTGATTTTACTTAGAGCAAATTTTTCATATAATGCTCGATAGCAACTGTTTGCTGTAACAAACGTTATTTTTGAAAGCAAGAAAACCTAAAAAACTGTAACGTTCCTCGTTCAAAAGTATTATAGCAATGACATATGATCCATTAAATTTAAAAATATACATATATATTGATTTACAGGCCGCCGTATACATGTACCCACTGCCTGATGATCCAGGAGATCCAATGCCAGAGAAGATATTCAAGAACCCGCCTTCAACAGATACTGTGGTAAAGTTTTAATCATATAAACTTTATTCATTTGTGTTAATGTGCCCGGGAGGCATTTGGCTACAGCAACCAAAGTCAGGTCAGGGATGTGCAACCTGCAGCCTGCGGGCCAAATTCGGCCCACTAGGAAAATTTGTGAGGCCCGCGAAACGAGTTTTTAATTTAGTTTAATCTGGTATGTGCGAGTAATTCCAATCTCTCTCATTGCAAAGCTTAAACCCGAGTCTAATTTATTACCTATGCATATGACGTTACAATGCCCTAACAGATAGCTTGAGTGAAGCGAAAACCCACGTCACAAGATGAGTACCAACATTTTGGTGACTGCAACTACTATGGAGCCTATGCTAAATAAAGGTGCGGCCCGTGATTTCACCTAGTTATTTGTATTTGGCCCTCCTGTATTGAAGGTTGCACACCCCTGCCTTAGGTCACTGCAGCCTTTGAGGCAGCAGTCAGCCTTTGGTCTTTCATATACTCTATTCGCTACTGGGTTCGCATCTCAAGTTACGACTTATCTCTGGTTCAAATCCCATGCTCAATCTCAACCAAGGTGTAATAAATTGAATATGAAATATCGAACTAGAAAGATTAGTTTCTTCCAAATAATTAATGAAAGCTCCTTATACATTTCGTTACATGTCTGCTTGTATAGGGCCACAGTAAGAAAGGCGTTACTGATTGTATAAAAATATTGGCGCATCAGAAGTGTGTGTACCAATATGGAGGTAACTAATTTTGTTCGTCTATTATACATCAAGTTGTGTAAAGGTACTGAAATCTATGGGCAGGGGGTATATTCACTTGGCTAACACAGACAGACCCTGAACTCCTAATAAAACAAAAATAAGGAAAATCGGAAAGACAATTATGGCCGAACCCTAACCTGGTACAAACACTATGAGAGTACCATATTTATTTTTATTATGTTCACAAAAAATTTCAGGAGGTCAAAGTTCGTGTTTACGTTGTAAGAGCGTTTGATCTTTCTCCGCAAGATTACAACGGACTTGCAGATCCTTATTTGAAAATCAAAGTAGGGAAGAAACGAATTCTAGATCGTCCAAACTACATTCCGAATACACTGAACCCTACATTTGGAAGGTATGTTCAGCCTGCAGGCAATTTGATAAATAATACACGAAAATGTAGAAATAATGTTTGCTTTATGGTGCGCATTGTAGATGATTATTGAGGGATGAGGACAACAATGACGCTGAATTTAAAGGCATTTTTGTCATTTGTAGGATGTGAAAATATGGCAAATATCAAGGGTATAGTCACCATTATAGCAAGTTAAATAAGTCAAAAATATAAACAGATAAAAATACCTTGAGCTGCTTTAATTAAATAAACATTCAACTTTTTCAAAAAGGAATAATATTTGGAATGGGATTCTCCAATCAATAATTTAAACAGAAACTCTCCGTTTTTTTTTTCAATTTTTAATTACGTTCAAGCAAGCATGACAGCGAACACGATTATTTTTGCCAACAACTCGCTGTTTGCAATTTTATTGGGTTCTTTAATGATGTTCCTAGGTTAATGGACAGCAAACAGGAAAGTATGCTTTTACCGACGTCCCACATATATATAATACCACCCTTTGAGTGACACTCGGGTTGCCTAAGTGTATCTTATTTCCACCTTTTGTTAGTATTCTATGTTTGACCTTTTACCTCAGTACAATATAATGTTAGACTTCCTCGTAGGTGACGCTGCTCGATAACCATTACTGGTTTATCGTGTCTTCCTTCATCGTGAAATGCATTTTTTATCTTTTCCTGTTCCGTATATACAACATGTATTTTCAGCCCTTGTAAAAATAAACTGCGCTCCCGTAGTATGTGCACCAAGATGGCGCACAACCTGAACCCTAACCTGGTACACATACTATGTTCAGGCGCCATCTTGGTGCACATACTACGGGAGTAACAAATAAACTACTAACTTATTTATAGTTTACACACTCTCCGCGAAATTTTTGTCATTTTAAAAACAATGCATTACAGAATGTTCGAGCTGGATTTAATTCTTCCATTTGAGAAAGACTTGTACGTTGAAGTCTTCGATTGGGATCTTATAGGCACGGACGACAAAGTCGGGGAAACCATCATTGATTTGGAGAATCGATATCTTAGTAAATTTAAGGCTTGGTGTGGATTACCGAAATCATATTGCACGTAAGTTGTAATTTTCATAGTGTTGGTCGCCATAAACATCAAAAAATCAATAATAACGTTTTGCAGGGCTCACCTCATTGTTTTATTGATCTACAGTTACACGATGCAAACTTTGCTTGTGTTTGCTTTTATAAATGTTCGGCCCACAGTCTGGAGCACGGAGATACGTTTATTAACAATGGGCGATGCCCGTTAACGAAGTATATTGTTATTGCTGGTTCTCTGCTCTAGGAGACCCTCGTTCTCAGTCGATCTGTCTGTCTGTGTATCTGTCTATTTAGAATTAGATGTAGCATCTAAACGACTGCATCTACCGGGACAAAATTTTTCATGTGGTTTGTCCTGTCACCCTAGTAATGTGCGTTTCATGGAAAGTCCAGATTTAAGTTTCCTTTTCAAGGCAACAACGAAAAAATATGAAATTATTATGAAATTTCCAATTTTTTTACACTTTATCGCAGTTTTCTCATAAAACCAAAATTGGAATTCCAAAAACGCTATTTTGTTATTATATTTAATGAGTTTAGAAAAGGCAAACTATAACACAATTCAACACAGCAACTCGTTTTGAAAATGATGGACGACAACGAATAAACTACTATTGCAGTTTTAAGTGTTTATGTGATGCTTTTATTTACATATAATTTTTATGAATGACATAGTACTGGACTGAATCAATGGAGGGATCAAATGACGCCGAAGGAATGGTTAATCCAAAGAGCAAGAGAACTTGGAGTTGACGAACCTGTTTGGAATGGAAACACTTCTGTTTTATTCAACAAAAAGAAATATATGCTCGACACTTTCGAAAGGAAACTGGTTAGTATGAATTTAAAACTAAGAAGTATGTGTACCAATATGGAGGTAACTAATTTTGTTTGCCTGCTTTACATCATGTTGTGTAAAAGGACGGAAGCCTATGGCCAGGGGGTATAGTAAATTGGCCAACACAGACAGTCCTGAACTCGTAATAAAACTAAAATAAGGAAAATCGGAATAAAATTATGGCTTAACCTTAACCTGGTACACATCTACGGGAGTACCAATTTATGTTCTCTTTACAAGATTCTCGTCTCAAATGCATTTCTTATATATCAGATTCCATGCAAAGACTGGGGTCCGGCAGATCAACGTCTTGCACTTCATGTATTACGGACAATGCCTCATGTTACAGAGCATGTCGAAACGAGACCTCTGTTTTCAGATACAATGCCAGGCATTGAACAGGTGTGGTTCGAACACATTTAACGTTTTTTTGTTTTTTTTGTTTTTGTGTTCAAAATGTTGATGAGAAATTTTATGAGGATTTTATGTGAATCATGATAAAATCTGGCCTCATTACTGACGTAGTTTAACATACCTAGTAATTTGTTCTCTAATAACTAGAATCACTTTGGAAATTCCCGATAATTGGCAATAGGGATGGAGATATGGACCCAATCATCATTCCCGCAGTTGGCTATTGGTTGAAACTTGAATATGTGGTAATAATCGCCATTGGAATGATTTCTTCTGTAGAGAGATTTAGTTGGGAATAGTAGTGGATATGTAATATCAGTTGCCATCTGATTGATCCACCTAATTTATATTTGAAGATCTGTACAGAGTAGACTTGTAATTTATCATAGCCAAGTTCAAATAGGTATCAATATTCATAGCAATAACGCGAAGTTGCGTTTTGAATTAATCAACTTAATTTCTGTATATTTATCTACCTTTAACTATCGTTATTTTATCACTTTAACAGGGGAGGTTACAGCTTTGGGTTGATATGTTTCCAAAAGACTATGGTGAGCCTGAAAACCCGTTTGATATAACGCCAAGGAAAGCATCCGAGTGAGCTTAGAGATTTGTTGTGTCATCTTAATATTATAACATGAAAATTCAAGGTTTAGACAAAGAACATACCGTAGAGATATGTTCTAGGTCAGTGGTTCTTGAACTTTTCATGTCGCACCCCCTTTTTCAGAATTTGTCAAGTCTAGCATCCTACCTCAAAAATAACTAACTGACAATATGCTACAAATACCAGATAATAAGTATGTTTAATACCTAAAAAAGTATGTTTTATGCAAAAAACATGTTGAAAATACGTGGATGGAACGTAAATAATGAAATAAATGAAAAGCTTTGAAATGTAAATATCCGAAAAAAAGCGGGCAAGATCAAATGCAACAAGTATTTTTATTTTCAATGAGCTTCATGCTCCCCCAAAACAAATAGTCTACGCCCCTCTTGTGGGGCAAGTCTTGTCGTTTGAGAACCACTGTTCCAGATAGAACATAACTTTTGTGCAAAGCATCTTAGATTAGTGAAACTTTTGGGAGCGCCCAATCATGTGCAAACAAAAATTTTAGTGTTGAATAAATCTTTTTCATATTCGAAGAAGTGATTACGAAATTTGTAAATCTTATGACTTTTTTACGGGTCACCCGTAATACAGATATTATGTTCGGGTTATTATATGGAACTGCAGTGAAATACCTATGATGGACACCTCGGTTTTTGGCGAAAAGATGACAGACATATATGTAAAGGCATGGATCGGGGGAATGGAACTTAAAATGCAGAAAACTGACATTCATTACAGGTAAGGTAATCCTTTATTTTTAAAATTAGTGATCCAACCCCGTCGTTAGATAAAAACGCCTGCTTAATGCTTATGTTGTATATTATTAGTGTTACATCGCCTCTGCGTTTAAAAAGCGATTTAATCCAAATCCAAAATTATATTTAGACGCCATTTTATTTACCCTTTTAGAAACAAAATGATATAGTAGAAGGCCCGATGCATTCGAATATTGTTAAACACGTCAGCATTGTACATTCATTAACCGACGGTTTTAGATTTCCTTTCAATCCAGGCTATGCACAATCAATCACTGGAGGAAATGAAATCTTGCCGATTCAGTATTGCCAAGCCAATTTCACGCATCCTTGGTGAAATTATTTGAGGCTATGGTATTCAAATTACGGCTGCAAATGTTCTAACCTCTAGACCACGCACGAGCCTGTTTCAATTATAACACATATCCAATGCATGAAGTTTCGAAACGAAATGAATTTAGTGATCAAACAGCTTAGTCCATCAAATTCAACCAACGATTTTTCACTAGGTCTTTAGACGGGACGGGAATGTTTAATTGGAGAATGGTATTTCCAATCGACTATTTACCTCAAGAACGAGCAGCTGTTATATCCAGAAAAGAAGGATTTTTCAGTCTCGATAAAACGACAACTAAGGTTGCTCCTACCCTTTATCTACAAGTATGGGACAATGATTTGTTTGGACCAAATGAATATATTAGTAAGTTGATTGAAGTTTTTTTATGCGGCGCTAATTCTTGTCTTCCGCCCCTGGCAAAGCCTTGTATAAGACCATCAACAGATACTATTTATGAAATGTTTGGCAGTTTACTGCGCCCTGGTTATGCTGCTCGATGACCAGTGCCGCCTCCCACCACCCTGAAATGAAATTTTAGCTTTTTTTACATTCTATAAGTACAACGGGTGTTTTTTGTGTGGTGGAAAAATAAATGATTAATCTGTATAACTTGCCAGTCATCATATATATATATATATATTTATAGCGTTTGTACAATCAATACATATCCATTATTAAAACCAACTCCATTTTCTGGCAACACTAGAAATATGTACAAAAAACTGGTTTTGTGTGCAAAATTTATTTATTTATTTTTTCTAGTTGGTGTACAACATTATCGGTGTTTTTGTTAATCTTGCTTTGGTATTTGTCTTTTAGGTGAAATTACTCTTCCGCTGAACAAAACTCCAAAATGTACAAGATTTAGTAAATTTGCTACAATAAAAAATATTCCTGATTTGCAAGGAAATTGTTCTGTTTCGTTAGTCGACATGTTTGATCAGAAGATGTTGAAAGGCTGGTGGCCTTTGTATGCGATGAAAGAGGGGGGGAGAGTCCAAGCAGTAAGTATGAGTGTCTGATAGAGACCCATACAAATTTGGGTACCAAACTAGAAGAAATCCGATAATACCCCATATAGGATAAAATTTTCCATATTTATTCCGAAGGCCGAGAAGGCAGCTTAATCAGATGGCAAACAACGGCCTCCTACCAGTCCGGTCCGGCTACCAGTCTATGTCGAATATGGGAAAAGTGTGCCATTTTCTATTTTTTCGGACGCCTGGACTATTCCTATCGCATAGCACAACGCTGTACCTAATTTATTGAGAAGGCTCAAGACATTGAGTCGACACGCACAGGGGTCATCTAAATGGAATAATTAGGGGTCGCATCAAATAACCACAAGTAATACTTAACCCGACTCGACTCTCTGAAGACAGTACTCCCGTAGTATGTGTACCAGGTTAGGGTTGGTTCATAATTTTATTCCGATTTTAGTTCTATAACGAGTTCAGGGACTGTTTGTGTTAGCTAAGTGAATAGACCCCCTGCTCATAGATTTCAGTCCCTTTACATACCTTGATGTAGGTGAACAAAATTATTTACCTCCATATTGGTACACATACTTTTGGAGCGCCAGGAAGACCTGTGACTCAATTTAACTTGTAACTCAGGGTTTCGGGATTTGTACCCAACACTGGTACTTATTTTGATGTAAAAGTAATTTTCATCGATACATTTAGAGTAAACTACTTGTCTTGGGTGTAGCTGAAAACTTTCTTTGCAAAATGTGATTTACAATATTGCCTTGGCATAGATTGGTATGGGTAATTCAAACAATAATTGATTGAATTTGAATTTTTGTTAACTTCAAAAATTCCATCATTCTCAAAGGGCAAGATAGAAATGTCCATCGAAGTTTTAACCAGAGAAGAACATGACGAAAGACCAGCCGCAAAAGCAAGAGACGAACCGAATGCAAATCCAAAACTCGATCCTCCTAAGTGAGTAATGTACATATAATGCCAATCACATGTAAAGTAATAAATAATACACGAAGGTCCAAGGGCTTACAGGAAGATTTTAATGAGCTGTGAGCTTTGAATGCATAGTTTAATTGACTCACACAAACAATTATATACTTTATATATTAATTACTCACTTTATATTTTATTAAACGTCTCTTTAATTTCAAAGAAACGTTTAATATGGTATGTTCTTGCTTACAAAGTGGAGGCAGTTTCTGTAAAAAAAAATGAGGAGCATTATCTCCATTCTCCATTATATAGACTTTTTGTACATAAACCATATTGACCAGCATTTTTTAAAGAAGTCCACAACTTTTGGACGAATCATCAGATGGAGTCATTTCACTGAAAAGGTGGAAACTACTGTCTCAGGAAGTCTTATCAATTACTTTCCCTTTTAGGCGTCCAGCAACTTCATTTGCTTGGTGGTCATCACCGTGGAAATCATTTCGCTATATTATCTGGAAAAGATATGGATGCATCATTATTACTATACTGTTGGTTGTTCTTCTCATCTTATTCCTAGCTTTATTTATTTACACGTTTCCGGTAAGTTGGTATGAAATTTATTGTAGTGTCTGTGTAGTATATATTAAATTTTTTTTTCCAGACAATTTCGAACAAAATTTTAATATGCCTATATTATTCCTCTGTTGCACCTCATAAAATCAAGTTTTGAAGAGAATATGCGAGGGTTAAAATAGCTTCGATTCGAAAATCAATGCTATAATCCCGGTATTACAGTTTAAGTATTTTTTTTCTAATACTAAACGTATGACAAGCTGTTGGCTGTAGATATTTTTATTTCATCCAATTGGCAACTTTCAGCGGAGTATTTTTGCCTGTGTAATAGCTTTTGAGTCTATTATAACCAGAACACGAATCTTTTCAAAATTGAAACTAGACTTGTATAAATAAGCCTGAAATCAACCATTTGCTGTTTTGTTTTTATTTTTCCATAATACAAGGTCGCATTTTGTGCTCATAAAATTCAAATTCAAAGAATATATTATAAGAGGTTAATTCTGACATGGGCAAACTACGGCCCGCGAGCCAAATCCGGCCCGTTGGGCAATTCAATCTGGCCCGTCTGCATCCATCCACCAAGTGTTTAAAGCAACGATCATGATGATGCTGCCACAACCAAACTAAAACCAAATTTTTATTTTTTATGTAAAAATAGCTCAAGAAAATTGTTGAAAGTACGAATAATTTTAGTTTTGGCACGACACTTATTGTTTTCCACTTTTGCTTTTGTAAAACTTTAAATATTGTTCCTAAAGAGTAACTTTTACGTTACACTTACATGGCCCGCCAGTCTAGATGGGCCAAATTTTTGGCCCCTGGTCCAAAAACCGTGCCCACCCCTGGTAGAGGAAAATTTGTTAAAAGGGGTTTGCAAGGTTTTGACGCTCATTCAAGTCTCAACATTCAATCTGGCGAAAATCGAGGATCTATGAAGATTATGCTTTTATGGTTTGCATGAATGACAAATTTTCCTACTTTGGTATTTAATCCCAAATGAGCAGATTTATACATGAAATACTGAAATAAAATATTACACTTTTCACAGGGTTCGTTTACATCTTGGTTTCTGGGTAAATTCTGAAAAAAGAAAAGAATACAAAAACTGAAGATACGATATTTATGTCATCTGGTTGACATAAATACCGTCTCGGAGAGATGATCAATGGGGACCTTGTCACTGGTAGTATGAACCCGTGATGTGCACCATGACGATTCTAAGAAAATTCGCGGCAGAAAGTTTCGCCCTAAGAAGTCTTGTCGCAGGAAATTTCGCCGCATAGGAAAAATCGTCCATGAAAAATCGTCGCAAGAGCAAAATTTTCCTACGCGGCGAGATTTCCTACGGAGAATTTTCCGGACATGCACCATGACAATGTTTATAACTGTTTTCCATCCACTCGCAATGGTGAAAGCACCTTTTGGCATGAAGTGATGATGGCATGAAAAAACTGTCCTGGCATGATGTGTCTAAACGGCATTTACAAGAAATCTAATGCCACCATTTAGTGTAGCCATCTATCTACCTATCGAACACGGAGGTACATAAATTGAAGACACATTTTCACCGAATAACAGATTAACATGTTGTTTATATTTATTTGGTAATACATAGAGATTATTATTAATAGAGTTTAATTTTATTTTAGCTAATATTTGAATGCAAGTGTGTTATTTTGAACTTCTTATCGAATAAGTTAGCAGAATTTATAGTTCGCAAAATTTTCGAGATCATAATATTGCATATAGTTTTTATCTATTAGAGAGGTTTGCGAAATAAATGGAAATGAAAACATGTTAAAGTGTACATTTCCTAACGCTGGTGTTCGCTACCAGAGTTAAGTTTACCTTTGGGAGAAATGAAATAAATGGCTTTACAGAGCAGGGTCTGGAGTGAATTATTTGCGTATAAACAGGTAATTGTTGGATGTTTTCTGTTATATCGTAGTACAATAGTGCATTAAAAACAAGTACCTATATAATTTCGAGTTTATGTTTGTTAAACAGTAATTATAAAACAACAAGATGATCCAAATACTCGGGAATGCTGACGCTATTTCTAACTTCCTAGTGTGTGATCATCGCCTAATTCAACAATGAGTAATTGACATAAGCACTATTTTAACTTTATTTCAATTCGTTACAGCCCGTCGCGTGATAATTATGATCAAAAAAATTCAAACGATCACTGCACAATTTACGTCATTAAATCATTAAGTTTCGGAAACGAGCACTTTTTCCGTTTTGGTAAACCCTGGTAAACCCTAGCATCAGATTTTTCATAATATAATCATTGCTAATGGAATAGAAATGCAAAAACTACCCAAAAATCTAACTTGCGTATGTCTGTTGTTTTCGAATTTAATTAAACGGTACTCCTGACGTATGCGCACCAAGATGTCGCATAACCTGAACCATAACCTGGTACACAACCTAAGTTCAGGTTGTGCGCCATCTTGGTGCGCATACTTCAGGAGGTCCAATTAAACTCCACACGAATTAGTTCATCGTTACTCAAAAAAGTACGTACCGGTATATTGGAATGTGTTTCAGTCAATTTCCATTTCGTGATAAACCCCTTTACTACACTCGTATCAAACATGGCGGGTATTCGGTTCCTACCCAGCCAATATGCCAGCTTTACTCATGTGACTCGTGATAACAAAACAACAATGGTTTACTGATTGTAATGATTTCCGTGTAAATGGAGTAAGTTTTTATTTAGCATGATCTGAACATGAACAGTATATATACTATCTAAAAATATTATTCCTGATCTATACTTCCGTTATATATACACAAATTGGGGATGAATTCATACAGTCTGCTTGTGACAGTGTTCACAAGCGGTGTAGCTTTCCACGACTCTCATCAGAGGAAAACTTCAGGCAGGTATCGACTGTGTTACGCTTTACCAGAATAAGAAAAATAAAATCAATTTACATAGATATTGTAAAAATATGCTTATGTGACTCAAATTAATTTCTATCAATACCCGCTTTCATTGCAGTGTCGACTTTACTTCGATTTGGGCGTTGAAACGCTACTTACAGAAGTAAATTAGATTGAAAAGTTATTGAGAAAATGAATCTCTACATTATAGAAACGCTTTGCCTTTTCATCATCAATACTTCGTTGGCTGCAGGAGGTAATTTTTCAATTTTTAGATATATATATATTTTTTTCATATTATTGTGATAAGTAAGCACGAGTGGGCGTGATGACCTACCGGTTAAGCGTTAGATTCAACTATGTTGGCATCGCAGATCCCCTACTTACCCACCCAGTGCGTAATAAAGTGGGAACTCTATGGCAAACCAGATATATTACTGTCTTTACCCGTCATTCGTGGCGCTCCAGAGGTATGTGTACCAATATGGAGATAACTAATTTTATTTGCCTACTTTTCTTCAAGTTGTACAAAGGGAATGAAACCCATGGGCAGGGGGTATATTCACTTGGCTAACATAGGTAGTCCCAAACTCGTAATGAAACTAAAACAAGAAAAATCGGAATAAAATTATGGGCTAACCCTAACCCGGTACATACACTACGGGATTACCTTGTTCGGAGCAGTGAATGCACCGTATAAAAATTGGGAATTTTCTGGGCCATTTCAAATCTAAATACGTATTGTGCGCATTTATGTTCAGGTGGTCATTGTTATACAAAATGGGAGAATGGACGCTGGGTTTCAGTTGGAGACTGTAACAATCCCAGTGCTGAAGGTAATTTTATATTTCAATTAGATTTTGATCATTATGAGTGGCGGTGTTAAATTCAAAAAGTTGCGAATATTTTTATTCCAGGAACTAGGGGCATGCCGAATTTTTAATATTGATGCCTCTTATACCTAAATTTGAAAATATGTCGGGGGAAAAATAAGGTATATATATAGTTGTTATACATGGGTATGGTCAAGTGAATGGGAATGTATGAATTATTAATTTAATCATCAAACTATTCAACAAACTGACCCCTCCAACGTTATGCCCGATGACGCTACACCTATGGCCCTTCCCTGGTCACACTTCTGCACCTTCATGTTGAACGTTCAAGAAACGGGGTATTACAATAAATAAAGACTTCTTTCTATATATAAGTGAAAATTTGATTATCATAACATACAGTGATTAAATATTTACAACAGTTTCAACCCAATATTGCGAAACTCGAAAAAAAATATTTTGAGAACTTGAAAAACACATATATTTTTGATTGTTCAACTTTTTCATTAAAACACTTTGGTGAATATGTCTTCAAACTTCAAACTTCTACCTTTATGTATAGACGTTCTGGGACAACTTAGAAAAAGTGTCAAAGCAAAAGGTGAACTATTTATCTCATTTTGAATCGAACTAATTCTGAGACTGTTTTCAATATATTTTACCAAGAAATCGAATCATGAAAATGTTATAAATTTATTATCACAAGCGAAGAGCGTATGACGTATAGAAACAATTGAATACACAATTGCTATAATATGTAAATTGAACCCAAGATGTGTAACATGCGACACAGTCAAGTCTGACGCTTTAATCCCTCGACCATCGCAGCGCTAAACACACTTTGGGAGGCTATCTAGCCTACAGTTAAGTAAGAAAGTTTTACAAATATTAGACGATGTAAATAAAACATTACGCGCAAACCAACTGTATTACCATAAAATCTGCACATGCATAAGTTGAGTTTAACTCTTCTCGCACAGAATTATACTCACGGGATTCGAACCTGCGAAACCGTATAGGGCTAATAGTGATGCAACGGCGTTTTCTCAATCTTAGTACGCTACGCTCAACGCTAAGACGAATAATTTGTAATATCAATAAAAGAAACATCTACATATCATAGTTCTTTTTTCATATTTTAAACAGAACTCAAAACCTGGTATCGAGCAAGCAACGGTTTCTACTACAAACTATTCAACGATCAAGTCAATTACGCAACAGCAAAATCAAACTGCCAGAAACTAGGAGCGGATCTGGCATCTGCTGGAGTTAGAGACTCTACCGTCCGCAGGTGATTGGAAAATTTAAACTTGAATATTTTGTAACTATCAGTTGGGGTTACGTGAGACTAATTACATTCTTTTGATTTATGTCTTTGCAGAAGTGAATCAGTGTTTTCTGGAGTTAAAAGTTATTTTAAGATTTATTTTTTTGTTAGATTTATGTGAGATAAACGTCATGGTAAGTGCGGTGACCTAATGGTAAAGCGTTAGACCAAATCAGGGTTGTGCACCCAGAGGCCCGCGCGCCACAATGGAAAAATGTCAATTTCAAATGGTGTGCGGCCCGCAAAACGAATTTTTAATTTAGTTCCATCAGGTGCAAGCAATTCCAATATCTTTGCGTTGCAAAACCTGTAACCGAGTCCAATTTAATATCTATGCCTATGGCGATTGCCTATCCAATTTGAAAACACAACCTTTTGCAACACGCGCTATGAAAACCGGTCTTCCTTACTTTTCTCTAGAATTGTGGTATTTAAAGAAATTTTGGTGCTGTACCAAGTGGCAAAAGTTTGATGTTAGATTACTATGCTAAATTAAACTATTAGTTGAGGTTACTCAGAAATTTCTATTTGGCCTTGCATCTGCGTCAATGATTCCGTCTGCGTATGATACAAGGATAATATCACCAAAAGAAACAATGAACACCAAATAGAACAATGTTAATTTGTTGTTATTTTTTTTTGCAGAGAAATACTGCCATTAGTCAAAGCTGGCAACGATGACACTTGGATTGGTTTGAGCAAACTTGAAGGTAAATTCATCTGGGCTGATGGCGTAGATTCAACTGAAGATAACACAGATTGGGATGCAGATCAGCCAGATAATTTGGGAGGTGGCGAAGATTGTGTACAATTTTGGCCTGTGGATAAATGGCAGTTAAACAATATATCATGCAACATAGACATGAAATATATATGCGAGGCACGTGCTTGAAAATACTTGATTCTATTGTTATCTCATTTCGTGATTGGTTATACAAAACTGCGGATAAAGACGGTGTGCCCCCCCCCCCCCCCCGGCCCAAAAAAAAAACATAACCAGGGCTATTTGAAATATATCTTAGATAGAACTGCTATGCGAAGTGCCCTAGACTGCTGAAACTAGCGGAACACGTTGAAAATACGTTAATGGAAAATAAATATCCAAAATAAAGAAATGTAATTGTCAAAAATAAGGCGGGCAAGATCAAATCTAACAAATATTTTTATTTCTAATTAGCTTCATGTCCTCTCAAAAAATTGTCTACGCCCCCCTTGTTGGGTACGCCCCGCCATTTGAGAACCACTGCTCTATTAGCTCGTTCGTTACTAACATATGTTTTCATTTCAATATTCACTTTCATTCACGTAGTGAGGTAATCGATTGGTACTCCCGAAGTATGTGAACCAAGATGGCGGACACTGGAACGTAGTATGTGTACCAGATTAGGTCACAATTTCAGGTAAAAATACTACGGGAGTCACTTGGCTAGTCCCCGAACTAAGGAAAGGGGCTCCCGAAGTATGCGAACCAAGATGGCGGACATCGGAATGTAATATGTGTACTAGGTTAGGGTTAGGCCATAATTTTAGGTATAAATACTACGGGAGGCTCTTGGCTAGTCTTCGAACTGATAATAGGACTAAAATAAGGAAAATTGGAAAAAAATTATTGCCTAACCCTAACCTGTTACCCATGTTACGTTCCGATGTCCGCCATCTTGGTTCGCATACTTCGGGAGCACCAAGGGAAATTAGAATAAAAGTCTGGCCAAATCCTAACCTGGTAGCTTACACAGACTACGTTCCGGTGTCTGCCATCTTGGTTCACATACTTCGGCAGTACCGATCGATTTGACTTTATCTTTATTGCTATATTATTCAGAACAGGGATGCGTGTCCATATTATTTGTCTTTAAAAAACTTCTTCAAAATATTTTTGGGTTACTTTTAATATTTAATTTTACCTAAATGTAAAGATTCTCAATGCGGCTTTTCAGTTAAGTTTTTTGTTTGGTACTCCCGTAGTAAGTTAGGGTTAGGCTATAATTTCAGGTACAAATACTACGGGAGTCACTTGGCTAGCCCCCGAATAAGGAAAATTGGAATAAAGTTATTGCCTATATATTTGTAATATATTTGTCAATATCCATTGTTTCTTTGTATAAATGTTTACACATTTTATGAATTATTATGGAATCAAATGATAATAATTCTAAAATTTATGAATTGAAATAAATTCGACCGTGTGTTTGATTGTGGATTCATCAAGAGTGAAAAATATGAAATATAGCAAAGATGGGAAATATTTATATTTTGTGAGATCTGCTGTCGCGTAATAGCAGGCAATACAGTGGTACAATGCGGGATAAAAGTTCCCCTTTAATTAAAATAAAACAGGGTTGGCATCGTTGGTTACACATCTCACATTTAAATCACCTTTTCTAAGGGTGTGATTACTTCGTAGGCAATGCAATCGGAATCGGAATAGGCTACAAGTACTTCCATACTGTGGCATACAGAAGCAAGTTAAGCAATATGGAGGTACAATGTGGAATAAAAAGTGTTCCCCTTTAATTAAAATAAAACGTCAAATGTCGGTTTCCATATAACTCGGGAAAAATAGAAAAATAAAAGAGATAGCCTTCTTGTGACTTCTTTCTTCTCTACGAAAAATTTGAAATTATTTAGTTCTGTAATTTCAGATAAAAATAATGAATGCATTCGATATTTCATATTTAAAATTATTTTCTCAGAATGTATTCGAAGTAGTAAAATATTCAGTTTTGGCCATCCCTGCTCTGGATTTTCAAAATTTCGACTCCGCCTCAACAACGATGGTCAAAACAGTTTTCAAATTCTTTTCTCGAAAGATATGTCATTGGTATCTAAAAGGCATAACATTCAACGGTACTCCTTAAGTATGCGTACCCAGATGTCGGACACCGGAACACAGTATGTGTATTGTGTACTAGGTTAGGGTTAGACCATAATTTTAGGTACAAATACTAAGGGAGTCACTTGGCTAGTTCCTGAACTCGTAATAGAACTAAAATATGAAAAATTGGAATAAATTTATGGTGTACCCCAACCTGGTAAAGATATATATATATATATATACTACGTTCCGGTGTCAGCCATCCCGGTACGCATACTTACGAAGCACCCATTCAACTTCGACGAATTGTCAGCGTCGTAAAAATGAACGCAATCTTCATCCATTTCATTTGTTCCAGTCCGTATTTTCATTAGTCGATTGTAAACCATCAGCCCATATAATATTCCGTCATGACCAATGTCATCCAGACTAACCCAAGTATATATCATATTCGCCTGCCTTTATCATTGGCAGGTCGACTCCATTTTAGGTATTTGTAATAACGTAATACTTCAACAAAACTATGATATTATATATATAAAACGATATATTTTACTTTCATTATAGAAACAAGAGAGCAATTCTCAAATATATGGACACGCAGACCAATTTCCCAAAACTCATATATATGCGGTAACTTACCAGTACCTGTATCGGGGTACCGTGACTGTACAGGGACTGTCATAGCTTTTTTAGGTCCTGTGACAATGATCCATTCTTCTTGATTGTCACATCAATTGAAATATCACATGATCTGAGTTCCTTCTGTATTACCGGATCAGGGGCGCCATTCGCCAAACTTCTTTATCGTTTTACGTGTTAGTAAAGAACCCACTTTCTCGTAAAAGGCAAAAATGGTATTCTCGGTACTAGGACGGGATACAGGTTCAAGACCTTACTGGCCTAAGACAAGTATGTGCGACATGCACCGCAACAAATTCTGTGGTGTTTGCATACTTCGTGAAAAATTGGTATAAAAAAACCCTAAATGCCTTACTTAGGTAAGAGTGACTGTAGTCTAGTAGCTGCGGACCGACCAATATATGCCAACTAACACCGTACTAACATCAAATATGGGATTACATATTCGTCTATTTTATTGTCTGTTACGGAAGTAGTTAACAATATGTATCTCAGAATTTATTTCATTCATCCATAGATTACTGCTATATTCCCCAAACTTTAAATCACAGGCTGCAAAAAGTAAAACAGAGATCATTGCAAAATACTGTAGGCTTATCCGCGCCGGGCAGCCAGCGGCAGTGAGTGATACGGTTGAGTGATCATACAGTGGTTTTCGTTTAACGAAGACCGTGCGTTAGATTTCGAGAGAACATGCGTGACCGTGCGTAAAGTTTTTACGAGATGTTTCGTGAATCGCACTTAACGAGATTTCGTAACTGCGTTTTTGAGAGACAAGGGTACCTGCTCGTAAACGCGGCTTTTTACGAAGTTTGGCGAATGGGGCCCCAGGTATCGCAGTCAAACATTTCCCGTAAAAACGTCCCAAAATCATATGCTTTAACTTACCAGCACCTGAATCGGGGTACAAATATCGGTACATGGACTGTCATAGCTCTTCCATGTCCTGTGGTAATGATATATTCTTCTTCATCCAATTTCAACGTGGATTGAAATACCAAGTGATCTAAGTCACTTCTCCATTACGGTACCAGGGCAAACTAAAAAAAGAATATAGATTCCCGATAATCATATGCGGTACGGTAACTTACCAGTACCTGATATTCGTTCGCAGAACGGTTCTTCCTTGTCACATAAGAACTCAGTTCATCTCCTCTTATCAAATAAAAAATATGGTAGGCTACAAAATTTATGTTGTTTACATCAGAACTGTAACGAAAAGGTGAGAGCGTATTTCACTGAGGTACGATACTGCTATTCGATCGTGGAACGGTTCTTCTCTGGCATAGAAAAACTCAATTTAATTTGCTCTTATCAAAATTACCAAATATGGTAGGCTAGATTTGCTAGAAAACTTACAGTACTGCAATAGTAAGATCGCGAAGGAACAAGAGAGCTATGCTAATATGGTTCCATTACATTTTTACATTTGAACCCACGTACATTTGAACCCATGACAATTGCACCTGTATGCTATTGCACCTATGGATTTTTTTTTGTTTCACGGATAGTTAAACCCATACTAACCCTAACCCATGGGTTTTAGCACCCGCATATAGATTGAACCCGTGGATATACGCATGGGTTCAAATGTACATGGGTTCAAATGTACGGTCACCTGCTAATATATATGGACATGTCACAAGGTGTCGCTATTTTTTATTCTGACACACAAAAAAAAAATCTCTTGGAGTCCACAGAAATTTTTGAAATACGTAAAAGTAATAGCCTTCTGGCAAAAAAAATCAATCTTCAACCACTGAAAATTTTACAGCAATGGGTCCAGTATTCGGAGAGAAAAGCGATTTCATCATGACGAAGGAGAAGAATAACAAGAACAACAACATAATATTGAAACGATCGTTATGTACACTGACGTGTCCAATAAGTCAATTTCACTGTGGTACGGTAACTTAGCATGTACCGTACCTGCAGGCTTGATCACGCAACCGTTTGAAATAAGTTTCAAAACAGTGTTCCCATGAGTAAATTTTAGAACTGCGAAATTTCGAATGAAATATCAGATCTCATAGGATTCATAGAAAATTTAGGATTAAATAAAAGTAATAGCCTTCTGAAAAAAAAAAACTTTAACCACTCAAAATTTCAAAGCAATTGGTCCAGTATTCGAAAAAAAAGCGATTTTATAATGATGGTGACGAGGAATAATAACAATAACAACAAGAGAGCTATGCTCAAATATATGAAGACGTAAAATAAAACAAATATATTATCATCACTTCACCGAAAACCATAGAGTACCGTATCCTGCACGAAGCTGAAGAGTGAAACAGCTAACTTACATGGCTATGGTAACTGACTTACTAGTACCGGTACCTAGTACGACACAGTTTACCTATTTCAAAACAGCCTCCATATTAAAATACATTAATTATAACTGTGACTGCAAGCCCCACTTTCAAGACTGTTTGGGCTTCCAAATCGGCAAAGCGACACTGTTACAGGTCTGCAGGCTCAGGGATTCTCTAGTTTCTTTTGCGATTCTGTTTCAACTTGATTGAGATACCAACTGATTCGAGATACCACGGTATCATACCAGTAAATACCGCAGTCTACAAATATATGGACACCAGGCGAGGCAGTAGTTCACTACATTACGCGTACCGGTAACTTCAAAACTTTTCCGAGTTTCTTGAGAAAGAAGTTCGTTACACACGAGCGACGTTCGATGAGCACGTATTAAAAAAAGGGGAGTGCCAGCACAAAAACAAATCAATTACTTGTCAAGAAAACGAATCCCACAGTGCTACCAGAAAAATTTGAAATAAATGAAAGTAATAGCCTTCTGAAAAAAAAAAAATCAATCTTCAACCACTGAAAATTTCAAAAGCAATGGGTCCAGTATTCGAGGAGAAAAGATTTTATGGTGTCGGAGAAGAATATGAACAAGAACAACAACATAATATCAAAACGATCCATAGGTCCAATCACGTGTCCAATA